GGACAGACAGCTGTCTCCTCCCCTCAGCTGGTCTTTGGCTGCAGCACAAATAAACATTTATTAGTTGAAGGAAATTTGATGATTTGCAGCATTTGAAATGTTTGACTGACAGATTTTCAGTTAAAGCTTCAACAACAAATCTGCAAAACAAGCTTGTTTAAAACATTTTTTCATGCATCTAACATCAATATAGTATAGTATACCGTAGCATAGCATTGCATAACGTAGCATAGCATAGCATAGTATAGTATAGCATAGTATAGCATAGGAACGCATAGTATAGCATAACATAGCGTAGCATAGCATAACATAGTATAGTATAGCATAGCATAGCACCGCACCGCACAGCACAGCGTAGCATAGCATAGCATAGCATAGTATAGTATAGCATAGCGTAGCATAGTTTAGCATAGCTTAGCATAGCACAGCATAGCATTGCATAGCATAGCACAGTACAGGACAGTATAGCATAGTATAGCTTTTAATATATTAATATATATTGTGGACAGCGCCGGCGCTCCTCCCACACACATCACACACTGTGCTAGGACCATGGCTAGGACACCAAGTGGCTGGGGGGCACCAACCAATCAGGCTTATAAAAATAAATAATTCTGTCACATTGTCTCTCTCTCTCTCTCTCTCTCTCTCTCTCTCTCTCTCTCTCTCTCTCTCTCTCTCACACACACACACACACACACACACACACACACACAAGCGCGCATGTTGGGACATTGGATTACATGAACATGTTTTTTTTTTTTTTTTTTTTTTTTTACTATAACATGGATTATTGTGAACAGAAGGAAGAAGAGGTAAAACTGAATTTGACATGATGAAATTAGCTTTGTTTGTTTTGCTGCTGAGTTCCTTGAGTTTTGCAGATAGAGTAACGGTACTTAAGTTGTAGTCTGGGCTTCAAACGGCTGCTTCTGTGGACAGCATCACGTTGTGTACTTTTCTATGTTTATTTTTACAGCCTTTTTATTTAGCGCCATTGTTGAGACGGAGAAGGAGAAACAGCCAGCTGCTACCACTTCAACTTTAGGACAAACTACCAGAGTCCCAAAAAGAAAAACACCTTTCGAAGTCACGGACAACAAAAGACGTTTGGATCTAGAAAACTGCAACTGATGTTTCCTCTGGTAATGCGGGGTTCCAGCCCGTGGTGCTGCTGCTGGCCCACCATGTTTTTGTGAAGCCAGGTTAGCACATATGTCTGTGGGTTAGCAAGGGCGGGAGCTAACGGGCTGATGCTAATTCAGCTACCTCCGGTAAATGAGTTTGGTGAACTGAATCCGGAACAAACACACATCTTTTCTCTGTTGACAGATGATTAGTTAAAATATTTGAAACTAGTCTGCGTGCCCGTGCACAGATTATACAAAGGGGCATGGCATTGTAAAAGGTGTGATCAGCTGCCCGAGTCTCTATTCATCATGGCTGTGCTAACAGAGCTGGGGCTGAAACTGAGCAGAAGAGCGGTGGCACATAGCTACTTGTAGGAAACCACTCGAGACGCTGGTGTGGTGGTCCCACAGCGTTCATACGGGAGGTTTCTGAGTCACAGAAGCACATGAAAGCTGTCTCAGGAAAAAAAAAACAATAAAAGCTGCCGTCTCACCAAAGGACCGTCTGAGACAGGGCTGGGACAAATGCGCAGGACTCGGACAAACACACACGTTTGGATTGATACACTTGTGGGGACATGTCATTCATTTTCATGGCTGAATCATGCCTAACCCTAACATAACCAATACTGATCTATTCCTAACCTTAACCCTAACTGTAAGTAATTTCACACCATGCCTCTAAAACCAAGCTTTTGGGCAGGGGTCCTCAATTATAATGGTCCGAGGGCAACTCACATATAAGACCCAGAAGCAAGAGGTCCGGGGGGGGGGGGGGGGGGGGGGGGGCTGTTCGGATCGCTGGCTGTGATGCACATAACACACAAGCTTGCAATATAAAGAAGGACAACACCTGTCCCCCTCCAGCTCGCCTGTGTGACTGCACTAACCTGTCCTGTGTGACCCTCATGTCCAGGCTGTCTCTGGAGGAGCTGATAGGAAACAAGATCTCCTGTAACATGAAATGAACCAAAACTTACTTCCAGTTTCTCTTTAAGTTGAATTTAACATCAGTTTATCATCATGAAACAAAAGAATTAAGTGTAACAAGAACTTCTATCTTCTATTTCTCTCTCCTTTGAACTTCTCCATGTCCCTAAATAAAAGAGACAGATTACGCTGCAGCCGTCGTCACTCAGCCCCGCCCCCTCCCCCAAGACCGGATCTCCGCATCACAGCAATCGGCCAGTCTAACTGAGCGCTTCCAGGAGAAATGATGAAATTATGAAAATAATAATGCGTGTTTGGAGGTGCGTCCTCCGATCCTCTCTCTTGTGTGAGAGACAACGTCTCTCTCTCTCTCTCAGTCGCTGAGATCCGGCTGATTCGGTTCGGGTTCGGTCTCAGGTTACAACTCCAGCACTCAGCCCTGCAGTACCACATGAAGGCAGACCAAAGTTTCCTGCCCGGTAAATGTGGCGAACACTCGCTCTGACAGATGTGGATGCTACGCTGGTGCCGCCATTAAAATAACAAAACTGCATTCCACTATAACTGATCATCGCCGCTCTGCTATGATGCAGAATCGTTTACGTCCGCATCTCATGCATTGATTATTTGATTATTTTCCTCAGCTCTATCCTACACCTCCCGGTCTGCTGTCGGGGGTTCGGGGGCCACAAATAGAGGGCTCGCGGGCTGCACATGGCCCGCAGGCCGCCTATTGAGTACTGCTGCTTTAGGGGGTTTTCCATTGTGGGGACCAGCCACACATTCCCACAATTTCCAAACGTCCCCATGTTGTAGGTTAAACCTGAAAATTTTCCTTGGATCAGCTTTTAAACATTCGCTGTGCTGCAGTGGGATTCTGCACCATCCGTGCACCATCAGCATCCAAAATATGCGACCACACAGCACCACCCGTCTGATCAAAACACACTCCTTCCAGCAGATCAGATGGACGGCTCAGGTTGGTTTGCTGCCCACCCATAATTTTTACTTGTTCATCTTCCTCCATATTCTCCATTCCTCAACCCAACTGAGTCATTTTAATCTGTGTGGAGATGGAAAGGACCAAAGTACACACACACATATATATATATACCCTTATCTAAGCTCTGTAAGGAGCATGGCTTGATTGGCCATCCTTGGTGACATTTCCCCCGCTGCAACCACAGCTCCCAACAGTCCAGGAACTTCTATAACCCATAAATGATGCTGTTCTGCTGTAAGCCTCGGTTGGTGTGTGTCTTTAGGATCTTTACTGTTCTACGTGAGTGTGAAAGGTGATGCAGAGCTCTGTTGAAAGATGAATGTCTGTAACCGTGTTGGTGTCCGAGACAAAGGCCAGACAGCACATTGCTTGTGACGTGGATGAGGCGCGGTGGCCAGACAGAAGCAGAAGAGAGGATTCAGCACAGCTGTTTGTATATGTAGACCACTGCATTAGCAGCTTTGGACGAACCCTGTATACATTGTGTATGTGTGAAAATACAGTAAAATGTATTTGGTAACATGTACTTGTGTGTTTTGTATAGAAAACCTATTTTTATGTACAATGCACTTTAGGCCTGTGTACTGTCTAGTAAGTAACACTGAACACAGTACGTCATGACGACTGGAGAAGTGGTCATAATGTTTTACACACATCAGAAATGTCTACTCGTGATGCTGTGTGTCATTTGGAAACAAAACACCAGTTTGAGGACAAATATCATTTTCAACGTAGTTTAGCCCAGTGTGTGTGTGTGTGTTTCCAGAAAGCCATGTGTAAACAAGTGTAAACTGTAATAAACTGTAGAGATATAACGAGTTTACACATGCTGAAGAATAGCAGACTTGCATCGTTCCTTCAGCCACCTTCTCTGAGCTGGACCTGATGAAGGAAGCAGGGCAGGGACTGCCTCATCAGGCCGCAGTCAAAGAAAACAAACGACACCACAATAAAAGGCTCAAAACGGAATGGGCTTTCCTTATTTACCAGTTTCCAGAGCATCCCGGTGAAACAGCTGAGCTCAGAATCAGAACCTCGGATCTGGATTAGCTTGTCCGGTGCTGCCACCTGGTGGTTGCAAATGGAAGCACCATGAACTTCTTCATGGCACTCGGGCTGCATGACGTCACAACACGACGGTTTTTGAAACCGATATGGGCAGATGAATCTTTGTTTTGGGCTCAAATCTGAGGAAATACTAACCAGACTATGGCGCTGACCTTTAACCTATCGAAGCTTTGAGGAAATGATCAGAAAAAGGCCAGAAAGCAACTGAAGTGACTGTATTTCCTCTGGCGATTAGGGGGGGGGGGGGGGGGGGGGGGAACGACGACGACAGTACATACCTAAATGACTGTAAGCAAGTTTTACTTTTGTGTTAAAGTATGACCTTACGGATGGCCATTAGGGTCAAAACTCCCTGGGAGCTCAACCTCCAGCAAAATAACAAGAACATCAGATCCAGTCATTACTGGCTAGGAGTGAAGAGGTAAATGAGTAAAGCAACGTTTATTAATGGTGAGTTTTGTAACCATTTGTTACAAATCAGTAAATGTGTTTGTCCTTGGGTGAAGTGCAGATTAAGGGTGCAAAGGGGGCGTGGTCAACTAACGCACTTGAGAATCAGGACGCCCTACGGACTCGCAACCCAGGCCAGGAACGCGCAAATGAAGGTTGCAAGGGCGAGTGTTGGGATTGGGCCCTAGACCCGGCCACCCCATGTATTTCTGAACATTTTGACAGATATTTCCAGATATTAAAGGTATAAACTACACAATGTCACTTGGAAGTTTGGAAAATCATGTGTTCAGGGTCACCAGGATCAACTTGTTAGGTTTTCCCGCTTGTTGCTGAACTTTCAGAACCCGATCAGACGAGTCAAACACCTCTCGGGTCAAATGGGAGAAACCGAACAAATCACAACACCTCAAAGCAGGTTCGTTAAAAAAAAGACAAACTTTATTGCTGCTATCCAGCGTGAATCCAACAGGAATGAGACAGATGTAGTACGGAGTTGAATAAAAAAAAACATTCAGCTCCAGAACCGAGACGGGTCAACATTCTCAACCTTCGACAAAACAAAAATATGTAAACAAAACGTATTCAAACAAAACTTTATTTACAGAACATAAAAACAGTCAGACTTCATGCCCTTCAACAAACTGCAGGGCCAGGGCCAGACCTGGACCCGGAGCCCGGTCCAGAGTCCAGGGGGACCAGGGCCTCGGCCCAGATCCCTGATAGGGGGCCTGGACCTGACCTCCAACCCTGGCCTTTGCCACCGACCCATCGGAGACTTTACAAACAGTATTTACAATCCAACACACCTGCAGATGGTGCTGAGCAGACAGGAAGTCTCAGTACTCACTTCCTGTTCTGAAACAAACATTCTGATCCCTTCAGAGTAAAAGCATCACAGAGATTTCAAGTTTCTATTGTTTAACCCAGACAGATCAGGTAGGAAACCTCGCCCGAAACAGAAAACTACCCAGGCTCGCAGAATCAGGGCTTGACCTTTGGGAAGTGTAGTTAGAATCTAAACTGGTTAAGTTCTGGAGTTAAATGTTCAGGAGAAAATCCACCTGACAGCCTTTAGGGTGAAAACAAGATCAGCTGAGTTTTACATCACTAGATGAAGCAGCCACAGCCAAGAATGATAACAAGCTAAAACAGTGTTTGACCACAGGGGGGCGCTCACTTGTCTCTGCAGTTACACAGCTGCAGATCTGAGAGAACAGTAACTCTTCCTCTTCTGAGGAGCTGCTCTGTCACAGTAGAACAGCAAGTGCTGCCTGGTGGTCGTTCTACTTCCTGTGGTCACGAGCTCGGAGGTGAAAAGGTTAAAAATGTACAAAGTGATTAAAAACAGCGAGGCGGGCTCATCGTCTCGTGGTCATCACACAGGGGAGGCTGAGACAGGATTAAACATCTGATCTTCACTGTAAACAGAAACAAGTCGGAGCTAAAGACCAAACAAAGGGTTAGATTGATTTCCAACAACAGACAGGCACGGCGGGTGGAGTCGGGCTAAATGTGGGAGAGGAGAGGGGAGGTGGACTTCTGTCTGTAGCAGGACAATAAAAGACCACAGGAGACGGAGCAGCTGCTTCACTGCCGCTTGCTCTTTATTCGCTCCAGACGCTTCTTCAGGTCGTCCAGATTGCCGGCAGGTGAGGTCGAGCGCGTGTGTGTCGGCGAGTTGGAGTGTGTGTTCAGCTCCTGCTGGTGCAGCTCGCGGGACTCTTTGAGCTGAGACAGCTTGCTGTGCAGCATGTCGGTGGACGAGGCCACGGACGGCTTGGGGGACAGCAGCGAGGAGATGGCGGGACGCTGCTGAGGCTCGTCAGAGCTTCCTCCAAGACCCTGCTGCTGCTGGAGAGAAGACACCATCAGCCCCAACCCCAACACCCCCCACAACCAGAGAATCACTCAACCAGCGCCGAGATGGAGGAGGAGACGGCCTTATGGGAAAACAACAGTTTGATATCAACAGGATCAGCTTTTAATCTAGTTTGTGTTTTTCTGAGTAGAAGATTATTATAAAGCACCTATAAATCCTGAGGCTCTTCACAAGAGTTAAAAAAACAATGATTACACATAAAATTTAACTAGAATATGAGGAAAACATTTAGAATGAAAAGCAGGAATAAAATTAAAAAGACAAGTAATCACAGGATCCAGAGGAAGACAGAACTGAGAGGAAAAGCAGGATGAAGAGAAGCTAGTGATGAAGACGAGGATGAAGAGGAGGTCCCACAAAAGCCTGAACAGGTGAGTTTAAAGGAGACCACTGAGTCCACTGATCTCAGGCTCAGGGGGAGAGTTCCAGAGTCTGGGGGCCACAGCAGCAAATGATCTGTCACCTTTGGTCTTTAGCAGGGGTGTCAAACATGCGGCCCGCGGGCCGAATCCGGCCCGCAAGCGGGTTAAATCCAGCCCGCGAGATGGTTGTGTAAACTTTATTTTCATACTTTACAGTGTAGAGTAAAAATAAACTTATCTTTGTGAGCAAGTTTCCTCTGTAATGAGTATAAATAAAACAAAGCTGTGCTCAAGGCTCACACAAGAACTTGAATCACATCCTGAAGTTGGCCGCCACTCAGGATGTAACTTCTGATATTGATGTGCTGGTGAAAGCTAAAAGATGTAAAGTAAAATGAGTCAAATATACTTTAAGTGCTGCATGAAACTGATCTTGCCATGTGATCTGTAAGCTATTTGAATCACTAAGGAATGTATTTTTTATTTGATTTTTTTTTTTTTTTTTTTCAAAATTTCAAGTACACTTCAGGTGTTGTACTTGTACTACACTGTCCTCAGGCTCCAGCCTTTTTTATATTGATTGTATTAAAACAAAGAAAACAATCTGAAGTTTTTTTTTTATTTACCGGTCCGGCCCACTTGGGACTAGATTTCCCTCAATGTGGCCCCTGAGCTAAAATGAGTTTGACACCCCTGGTCTTTAGCCTGGTGCTGCACAACCAGTAGGCTTTGATCACTGGACCTCAGGGACCTGCTGGGGGTGTAGGGACTAAGAAGATCACCAATGTAAGATGGTGCTTGTCCATGTAAGGTCCTATAGACCAGAAGCAGGATCTTGAAATGAACCCTGAAGTTGACTGGCAGCCAGAGAAGCTGGAGGAGAAGCGGGGTGATGTGGGTGTGTTTGGAGGACGTGGTCAGAAGCCGAGCACAGGCGTTCTGAACCACCTGTAGACGGTTCAGGGAGGTTCTGCTCAGACACGTGAAGAGAGTTGCAGTAGTCTAAGGGCCGTGGTATACTTGCTGTTTGACCTCGCGCTGGTGCAGGCAGCGTCTTTGTTCATATAGCTGCTGCTGCACATCACTGCATGTAGTACTGGAGTGTTCCACTGGGGGCGCACTAGACCACTCAGAGCCGGGTCGTGGGTACAACCAAAACGAACATGGGATCAGTAGAAAATATCAGTAACGTGTTAATTTTGCGATCACGACAGATAAAGAGACAGCAGCGGTATTGAAGATGTTATGAAAGCCCTCTATACCAGAGATGAGTCACCGTGGAGAGTGTGTCTCGCTCGTTTTGTCGACTCCACCTAAAGGTTGCTCGTATATCGCAACGTTCAGACGCGTTGCATTCATTTCAGAGGATGCAAACAAACGCTTCAAATCAATGCAAGTAAGGCGTGGCGGCCATTTTAAAGACGCGTTTGCGTAGTCAAACAGCAAGTATGTCACGGCCCTTAGCGTAAGGAGATGAGGGTGTGGAGAACTGTCTCAAGTTCAGAGTGAGACAGAATGGGACTCAGCTTAGCAATGTTCCTGAGATGGAAGAAGGAAGAGCGAACAAGAGAACTGACATGAGAATCCAGGGTGAGAGCTAGGGATGGGTACCGAATTCGGTACTTTTTAAGGTACCGACCGAGCACTGATTCACATAATTTCAAACGGTGCCTCGTTTCGGTACTCGTCCTTCATAACGAGAACTTGCCTAGACAGCTGCGCATGCGCAAGAGCGTTACGTCGTCGGTCGCTGCGAGCCAGTTGTAAACAGAGCAGCATGGTAGAGAGAACGCAGGCTAAAGCTTGGGTCCACTTCTGTAAATGTGATGGGTAACTGGGTGATGATGAAACCAGCGACAACGAACTAAGTGAGACATCCTCATCTTAATCTGCTCTGGTAGGTAAATAAAATGTTTAAGTAAGTAAGTAAGTAATTAAAGTTTATTTATGTAGCGCTTTCCACAGATATAAATCACAAAGCGCTGTTTAAGATAACGTTAGCTTGATATGTTAGCTTCCGTTTTGCTAATGGTGCGTTCGCTTTCTCCTCGGAACTCCGAATTTCCGACTAGAAGAACATGAACGCGCTCTAAAGTTTGGCTTCACTTCACTAAATGTGATGGGTAACTGGGTGAAGATGAAACCAGCGACAACGATCTAAGTGTGAGGCATCATCGTTTCAATCTGCTCCAGCAGCTAAATAAACTGTTTAAGATAACGTTAGCTTGATATGTTAGCTTCCATTGCCACCATTGTTATCAGCTAATGGTGCGTTTGCTTTCTCCTTGGAAATTCTAACTTCCCAGTCGGAAAAATCAAATGAAAAAGGACGGCGAAAGGAATGAAGATACACAGTAAATTTAGTTCACAGTAAAGATGTTTGCTTCAGTTTAATTATCAGCTTATAAAACTACAAGGACGATGTTAAAATACAAACACTTGAATGTTATTTATTGTGATATGTATCAAATATTGTTATATATTGTGAAAAATATATATTTAATTCTAAAAGAGAATTAAAATAATAAACACTCAAAAGTATCGAAAATTGGTACCGTTAAGTACCGGTATCGATTCCTAGGTACCGGGAATTAGTACCGAATCGATTCAAATGTCAAAGGTACCCATCTCTAGTGAGAGCTGGGTCAAAGGTCACACCAAGATTCCTGACGGAAGGTTTGGTGTGAGAAGCAAGTTAACCAAGAGTCTCTGACTTTGGGAACTAGTTTGTCTGGGGCACAGATGAGGATCTCAGTCTTATCTTCATTCAGCTGAAGAAAGCTCCCAGCCATCTAGGTTTTAACAGTCTAAGCAGGAGTGTAACAGCTGCAGCTTAGTGCAGTCCCCTGCATCACCGTGGGTCAGAAGGTCATTAGAGACCCTAACCCCTTCTTTCCACCGGAGCCGTCAGCAGCACGTTACTGCAGCAGCATGTCATAGCTGCTGATAGGAACCGCTGTGGTCAACAGAACCTTTTCCACCGGAGCAGTCAGCAGCGAGAGTCGGCCGCGTCTCAGGAGCAGCATGTCGCGGCCCTTACGCGCCGGTTCTATTTTATACGCGTGACGCCTCTGAAACGGGTCAAGTTTGACATTTTTGGGGAAGGAAAGACAGGAAATCGGACGCGGAAACGGAGCGAAGCTTTCTGAGATTTTCAGAATAAAGAAACGTACTGCCTTCCTGTTGCTTTACTTTAAAAAAAGTTACTAACTGTGCGTCCCCGTGAGAAGTTATCACCTAGCTAGCGGTCTCCTTTGTTTTTCAGGTCCGTATAGGCGATTATAAAACGGACAGAACATAAAACACAACCCTTTTGGAGCCATGTTGTAGTTTTCTCCTGCTTGTTGTTGTGTTTACTGACAAAGTCACTCGTGTGACTTCGTGCTCTGTCGGTGACAGCTGCTCCCCTGCTGCTTCGCGTCTCGTCTCGTGGGAAGGGCCAAGCAGCAGCTTACGCGAGCAAGACGTGCTGCTGCAGTAACGTGCTGCTGACGGCTCCGGTGGACAGGAGGGGTAAGAAGAGCTGTTTCAGTGGAATGAGCTCTACAGAAACCATCATAGATGTTATGTTCATCAAGAGCAGCTGTAAGAATCTAATTAACCCAACCTTTGACTCTCTGGTTGTTATGGTAACCGAGGAACAGCTGGTATTTAAACTCACCCTGGCGGTGTTTTCCAGGCCTTGTCTCTGTCGAAGGATCTGGAGTCTCTCGTAGTAAACGGCTGGTTTCAGCTCCTCGTTGTTGCTGCTCAGGATCGACTCAACACCGTGCTGAGGAATCACTGCAGCCACACACACAGGGTTAACACACACACACACACACACACGTGAGAAGCTACAGGCCATACCTGTGGAGTTCTGGATGCGAGTCTTTCCCTCCCGTTCTGACTCGATCAGGCGGAGGCCTCGCTCCACGTAGTTCTGGAAGAACTGAGATGTGTTTTTGAGGAAAGGCGCCAGGTCCACATCGGAGTACTTCTGTTTGTACTCGTATAACTCAGTCAGACCCTGAGGAGGAGGTCCAGAATGGTTACCGGGTTTCCCATGTGTGCAAAAGTTCATTTATGTCAGTAATCCAACCTAAAAGGTGAAACGTATCTGTGAGACAGACTCATCCAGATGTTTCAGCCTTTATTTGTTCCAACTGTGATGATCGTGGCGTACAGCTGACGGAAACACGTCCAGAATCTCAGACTATTAGAACATTCTAGACTCAAAGTGTTCCACTCTGACCAGCTGATGGATCCAGAACACCTGCAGAAGGCTCCTGAGCCTTTAGATGGTCTCTCAGTCTGAGCTGGACTACTGACACAGATGGACTTTTGCACCAGACCATCATGTTTACTGTTCCAGCTGCAGCTTAACACCGGCGTTAACCAACCTCCTGCGTGTTCTCTTTAGAACCGATCTTCTTAAAAATCTCAGACAGGATGTCGCCGACTTTGGCCTTTGACATGCGGTCGTCCTGGAAAACATCAGAAGTAAGTAAGACAACTTCATCACAGTACAGCCTGGAAGGGCATTGCAGTAATCGAGGCGGGAGCTGACAGTAGATTGCACCAGGAGCTGGGTGGCACGTTGTGTTAGGTATGGTCTGATCTTTCGTATGTTACACAGCGCAAAGCGGCATGAACGAGCAACAGAGGCAACATGACGGTGTAGTGGCCGTAAAGGTCAAGAGGTCAATCTTTTGACAGAACTCATTATTTCTCAAGCTACAACTGCCAAGTTAGCGTGGACTTTGGGAAGTCTCAACTGTTACTGTACGGAGGGACCCAGCTTCATGCAGAGGACTTGGCCAGCTTCTAAGTCTGTTGGGATGTCACCAAGTTTGGGAAGGTAGGAAGATTCCTGTAAGGCCATGTTTAACTGTTGTGTAAGGGCGTGCACGAGGCGTGCTCGTGTCAGAACTGCATAAAGCCACACCCCACTTCAAGTCGGGGGCTTTTCACCTTTGGTACGTGTTGATGCTGAAGGGTTAGGGTAACAAAGGCCCCAGACATCTGGCTCCAACTCCGCCTTTTTAAAACCATCATATCCTCTAAAATGGCTCTGAAGCATCATTTCCTGTCGGATCAGAACCACCATGTAGCGTGTATTGGTTGAGTCACTCACCGTGCGCAGGCCGCCCTTTTCGTTGCCGCGGTCCCTCTTCAGACCCGAGAGGTTCCCCGAGTGTTTGACAACTCGCCTTAGGTGAGCCTCCAGCTCCGACTCATTCCGGTTCTCGATCATGGACAGATGGTCCAGAATCTGCTCACAAACATAGAACTCAATCAGATTTCCTCCAGTGTAGCCTGAGTGGGTCGTGGGTCAGAGGTCAGAGCAGCACCTTGGCGCCGGTGAGTTTACAGAGCGTGTGCAGAAGGGTCTTAAGGGTCCGATGAGGAACGTCGCTATTCAGCTGCTTTAGTTTCTCTTTGGGAAAAACCTTCATGAAGTTGTGGACATCCAGCAGGATTCTGTCCAGATTTAAGCTGTTGATGGTCTCCGGCAGGAAGCGGATCATTCTCCACAGACACTGATGGAACACAAACCCAGAGAGGTCAGTCTGAGCGGCGACACCAGCCAGAGGGGCGGGGATGCTCACTCGCTTACCTTCATGACGAGTTCAGAGACTGTGGGAGAACCGGCCGTGGAGACCAAAGTGTCCTGCAGCAGAACCAGCAGAGCGCTGGGGGGTGGGATTGTTAAACTCGTTTACAAACTAAAGCAGATGTTCTGAAGTACGAGTCAGAACCCGTCCCGTTCTACAGACCTGATCATGTTTGTCTGGTCCGAGTGCTCCAGAACTCTGATCACCAACAGGTTGACGGACCTGATGACCTGTGTTCCATCTTCTACGTCCTCCACTCGGCTGTCCAGCATCAGCGTGATCAGACCGTGCATCAAGTCCTTCAGGACCCCCATGGACGCCTCTCGAGCCAGAGTCTCCATAGAGAACAGCTGACAGGAAGCAAACAGGAAGTGAGTGGTCCGTCAGCGGCCTGGAGGAACAGCTGGATGAGCGTGGACTCACCGACAGCAGGCTGCCGATGATGCAGCTGTACAGCTTGATGACGTCCCTCTTGTCCACGCGCTCGTCGGCCAGGTGGGTGCTGTTGAAGCGCAGCTGCATGATGGTCACGATGAGCAGCTGATCAATGTGTCCAGACATCACGTCCGCTTTGTCCTCCTGCCTCAGAACCTCGTCGATCTGTGGACGTAGAGCAGCACATTCATCACCACCACCTAAACCCCAACGAGCTAAGGTCAAAGGTCACCAGCAGATCTGAGTACGAGGACACCAAGACCATCAGAACCAACCCGCTCTGAGTCCAGAGGACTGACCTTCACTTCAGTGAACAGACACGTTTGATCTCATCAATCACCCTTCAGGTGTCGTACCTGCGCCAGCGCCTGGATGCTGGTACCGATGTCGCTGCTCGCCACCTGGGAGATGACAAAGTTGATGGTGGAGGCGGTGCTGTTGTGGAGCTCATCAAAGTGGGGCGAGATGGGCCGTATCCTTAGAACCAGAGACGAGCAGAAATCAGCAGGAGTGTGCGTGTGTGTGTTGAAGTACTGACTGAGGACCATCATGAGGTTTGAACCAACAGCGAGGTGATTTTTCTGGTCCTCGCTTTCTTAAAAGCTTACCGGATGGTTTATAGGTTTGGTGTGAATGAAGTTTTTGTTTAGGTTAGAAAAAGATCAGCATTGGTTATGGTTACGAAGTCACTGGATGAGCCTCACTAAGACAGAAAGGAAGACGTGCGTGTGTGTGAGCATGCGCACGTGTGTGCATGAGAGAGTGCGTGTGTGTGCACGTGCGTACGTAAGTGAGAGCATGCGAGTGTGAGTGCGCACGCGTGTGTGTGAATGCGTGTGCGTGTGTGTGCTCACCAAGCCCCCACAATGCGGCTCTAAAATTGGTCTCAACCCGGAAGTACCAAAAATTGCAGTTCCACCCTCATCCACTAGGGGCTGGTGTCAGAAGCGAGCAAATCCTCATAGACTCCCATGTTAAAAATACCAATTTCACAGCAGAAATAAACATGTTTACAGCCTGGTACCAAAACATGTTTTTGGTCTAAATGATCTAGTTTATACTCATGACAACTCTGAGGGGGGTGAATTTTTTTCTCACTCTTCTGTTTAAGTGTATTAAAAGCCTAAAATTCTGTATAATTAATGAGCATCAGACCCACGTGACCACAGAGCTAGCTCCGTGGCCTGGAAACTGTTCCGGGATTTTGAGTCTCTGTGTTTGTGTATTCTGTTTTGGAAATTATTTGTGCAATTGTTGAACAAAATGACTTGCTGTGGCATTAATTGCACTAATAGAGCGTCCAAGGAGTCTCCACTTCATTTTTTTCTGTAAGTAAAATTATATTTATGTATTTTAGGTCACTGCCGAGCTGAGCTTAGATTTTAACATGTACTGTTTAACCATGAAATGTAAATGTAATAGGGTAAAACCCAGTGTATTTAACATAATGCTGCACTTTAGAAAATGGGTTGAAATATAACATGTTGGTGGAGCTGGGTTCCAACTATTGGCTTGTGGAGCTCTCGGGAGACCGATGTTTTCCACCTGGTTTTACCCAGCGGTCAGCCCGGCGTATCTCCGACTCAGAAGCTCTGGTGTTGTGCACAGTTAACTCCGGTTGTAGCTAGGTTGCTACCTCCGTTAGCTTAGCTCCCACCTCCGCGTTAGCTTTGGGTTAGCTTGTAGCTAGTTCGACCGGGTGTCATCAGTTGATCCCAGCCTTACAGCCCCACCCTCAGCTCCACCTCTCTTCCCTTTTATGGAATTGTCTGGGCTTGACGGAACCTGTGACACGGTCAAAATGGCGGTGGTGGCCACCTCCCATTTTAGTACAAAAACGTGTTATTGGAGCCTATGGAAACCCATTGTCCATATATGTATGTCGATGGTGCTCACTTAGGCTTTGGGATCATGAAGGGCTCCAGCAGCTCGTCCAGCTTGTGCTGGACCAGGTCCGGTAGCTCACACACTCGGTTCTGGTCCGTCTCGATCATGTCCAGGTCCAGCTGAAACTCCTTGGGGATGGATGGGTGGGACGGCTCGCTGTGCTGCGCGTTCTGACGGGACTGACTGGACAGATGGAACACACAAATTAGTCTGGGGTCTTACGGATCAGCGCCGCCTCAGCTCCAGTCTGGATCCAACAGAACCTGGAAGTCATAAACCGGTTCTGTATTTGGACCATTAAACTATCCGGGTCAGAGCATCAGCTTCAATAATGGAGGCCAAAACATTTATGGTCAGAACTGGAGTTGATCAGCGTTGATCTCAAAACACAAGTCCCAATGGACTGGGGAAGGGGGAGGAGCCTAAATAATAAACACTAAACATGGATCAGGACCAGGCAGGTTCACCTCCAATAAAAACCAGACAACAAACTGAATCCAATCAGAACCCAATGGTTCTAAGGGACAGTGACCTGAAGTCAGAACTTCCAACAGAACCTAATCTACAGCTGACTGACAGGATGGGTCTCTGTTCAGGCGGAACCGAATAGCCTGAAAGGTCTGACTGATGCTCAGCGTTTTACATGTGGATCCAGTTTGTTGGTGAACAGCAGGAAGTGTTGGGCCGGGACTGATCCACCATCACCAGGTGAGTTCCTAGAACAGCCTAAAAGGTTGGCAAGGGTTATTAGAGGATCTGTCTGGACTTTGTTCCGGTTCTGATCTGGAGTCAGCGTTGGGCTAAGCCATTTATGGTTTTCTGACCAAAGATGCACTGACCCAGGATCTGTTGTATCCAGGTTTTCCACACAGGCAGGAGGCAGGATTTCATGGAATCCAAGAGTCTTATTCGCAGGTTGATAAAATACAGACAGGCACATAGTATTCAGTCAGCTTCCAACTGTGCAAGTAGTCCCACTTAAAGATGAGAGGCCTGTACTTCCATCAGAGGTAGACCTCAACCGTGACACGACATGAAAAAAAAACCCAGAAAAGCACATCGCCACCTAAAGGTATGACACAGAGTATTGGGCTGGACTTCCGTTATTGACCAAATACTTATTTCACACCAAAATATGCAAATAAATTCTGTAAAAATCCAAATGTGATTTTCTAGATGTGTTTCCTCATTTTGTCTGTCATGGCTGAGGTATACCTGCGATGAAAATCACAGGCCTCTCTTCCCCGTCTGTGGGAGAACTCGCAGTTGGAGTGCCAACGGAAATGTTTAATCATTAATGGGCCCGGCCTTGCTCCGACAGGGTAAAAACAGCATGGTGCTGTTTGGTTATTACAGCCCAAACATCACCGCCGTTCCAGGGTTTCATGCCTGTTGCCAGTTATGGATCAGCACCAGAAGATTCTGGATGACAAGCGAAGACGAGTCAAACACAGGAAGGTGATAAATAGTCATGTCGAGTTAGCACTAGCAATGGGCGATATGGCCAAAACCACGATCAATTCTGGAGCACGTGCGGTAACGACGCATATCCTTTTCTTTTGTTTATTCATGTAAAAATGGTTTTGAACAACCTCGCATACCAAATGAAATGCAGAACAAAAGATCCAGATAGAATAAATCTGTATAAATTTGTATTATAAGATTTTATGTTGAGGTTATTTTTCCAAACAATGCAACAAAAAATATCAATAAATGAATAAAGATGGACATTTTAAAATAAATAAAAACTAAATGTGATGAAAACAATAAATTCTAAATTATCAGAACTAAAGTGAAAAACGTAAAAAGCAAATAACATTTAGTTTTATTTCAGGAGTTTGAATAACTGCGTTAATGTCCATAATATCACAATAATGGAGGTTTACCCGATTTCTTTCACTTTTGTTCAGTTGCGCTCAGATCAGCTGATCCGTGCCGGTAATGCAAAAGCGGATGAAGCCCTAAACTGTCACGCTCCTCATCAGCAAGCGCAGCCGGTTGGCCGGTAGTACAAATTCTACATCATAGACCAAAATAATAACGGTTATACCAAACATTACTAGTTGGCACTGAAACCAAAAGATACCGTGGCTTCCTAGGGGTACCAGAAAACCTTCTGGGTCGCTCCTGTTTACTGGTTTAGGTTCTTAAACAAATATGGAGATTTTTTGCCTGCTGGTGTCGAATTACAAATGCCGGCGCTGCTGCATGAGCTCGGCGCAGACGTGGAAACCTCACGAGTCACTGACTGTAAACTGTAACTAAATCCCTCTTAATTATTTTTGAAGGAGAAAAACTGCAGAACCCCCAGCCAGCCGAGACTGAAATCTGTGGCTGTGCCACCTTCCCTCCAACATTACTGAGACAATAAACTGATGGTGATTATTTCACTGTAGAATTCTTACTTATTGCTCCTTTAAACATGTGGTCCTTAATCTGAGCCAACGGCCTCCGTTGACTCAGCACAAGCAACAACACTGACAAGAGAACAGGTCCTCAGGTGTGAGGTCACCGACTCGAGGGTGGTGTTGGGGGTGTTAGAGGAGACAGCTGAGCCTTTCGACCATCAGTCTGCTGCCACATGCCAGCAGAGCTAAAGGTCAAAGGCTCAGGGGGTTAGGATGCATTCATAAAATCAATGACACCAGGAGGAGGAGTTGTACTCACATCCTATACGTGCGATACATTATTCTGCTCCAGGAAAGAAGGCAGCAGAGCAGAGAGAGGAGGGAATCACACAGGGAGAGAGAGGAGGGGTTAAAGGTGGACAAAGACAGGGTTGCTCTCACAGAGACGTTCTGACTCCGCATGTCGCTGTGAGGGTAACCCAGCATGCACCAGTTCAGAAAACAGGACAGATTAGTCCAGAAAAGGAGATGCTGAAGAAAGGTCAAAGGTCAGAGAGTTTAAACCAGACAAAAATCAATCAATCAGCAGAAAAGAAGAACAGTTTTAAAGATCTGTCAGTTCCACGTCAGCAGCGACCCATCACTGTGCGTGTGTGTGTGCATGGACCTACTTGAGCTTGTTAGGGTCTTCCTGAGCTGGCTTCCGGAGGAAAGTGGCGGTGGAATTGGTTGGGTTTTCCCTCTGCGGTCTGTCAGCCGGCGCCTGTTTGGGCGGAGCTGCAGCAGCCTTCTTAGCCGAGCGTTTGATCCGCTCCTCCAACATGCTCATGTCCTTCTCCGATAGCTGGAAGCAACCAGAGACAAATACCAATCATCCATGTCCTGTTGTGTCCAGTTCTGCCGCAGCATCAGGTCGTTCTTACGTTTCCGATCAGTTTGTAGACCTGGTCGCCGCAGACGTTGTAGACGGCCACCACGGTGTTGAGAGCAGCGTTACGGACGGACGTGTCTCTGTCCCCAATGTGGACAGCAATCTCCTTCAGAGACTTGGCAGGAGTCGGCTGACACACATTCATCCCGTATCCTTCGATCAGACAGCCCAACTCCTCCAGACACTCTGAGGAAACAGAGGTTTGACTCAGATTTAGCTACAAAGACACCGAGCTGCTGATACTCCATTGTGACCTATCTGAGACCTACCAGCTCTCTGCTTGGAGTTCTTGGATTTAGTTCCTTCCATGAGGAAAGGAAAGATCTTGGATGCTGGGTAAACTTTACACAGCATAGCGAGAATGGCCCGAACATCTTTACGAACTACATCCTTAGATTCTCCAACCTGCAGAAGACAAAGTAAAACTCAGAGCCTGAGTCTACTGATGGAAACCCGTCTGGTGTCCCAGTGTTACGCCCACACCTTCAAGAGCAGGTAGGGGATGAAGGAGTTGGCCTCATACTCCGTCAGGTGGTAGTTCTCCCTGTTCAGCATGGTGAACAGCAACTTCAGATACTCCAGAACCTTCATCAGGACCGTGGTGTTGGTGTCAAAGAAACGAAAGGTGAACCACTTCAGGATCAGGTCCAAACAGCTGATGGTAGCATCGCTCTCGCTCTCCAGCCTCTGTCAGACACAGATGGTTAGAGAGACCAGGCTCCTGTTGGAACGGCAGCAGAAACCGGACAGAGACATTCTACCTCCATCATGACACCAATGGCCTTCACGTGTCTCTGGAAGTCGAAGTGAAACAGCTCATCCTGCAGCCACTTAGCAAAGCAGGTGGACATCTGGGTCTTCAGCTGCTCCACGTACTCGTCTCGAGGAGTGATGAAGTTCCACTTTAGGATCTACCAACACCAAGAGCCCAGCGTTAAACCGACCTGAACACTAAACACACGCTCAACACATTGCAGAACCACGACCGGTACCTTCAGCTGCTTCTCCTCTTTGATTCTCTGCTCCTTGGCATTTGGAACGAGGATGAAGATCGGTCCAGACTTGTCCTCGTCGTCCTTCAGGCCTTTGGCTGCAGGCTTCTTACCAGCTGGACACTGGGTGGGGGCGGGACTCGTTAATGTTTATCAACAGGTTAGTTTTACAGTTAGAGAGAAAAGAGAAATAAAAGGAGTTATGGAGGGAGGACACACACACACACACACACACACACACACACACGTTTGGCTGTATTAGTGCACACAGCAGACTGATCTGAGAGCAGCTGGACTAACTGCCAGGCTGACAGGAGTCCACAGAGACGTAGAGGACAGTTTCCTCAGGTGAGACGTCTACCTGTTGGCTTCCAGCAGCAGCCTTCCCTTTGAGGGGGGGCTTTTTACTACCATTACACTCCTTGTCCTTGGGGGGGGCATCGTCAGGAGGGGAGGACTGGGTGGGTAAAAATAAACATGTTCAAACAACAATGATGCGAAAAAAGAAAAACACGTAACATGAATGGAGGTGAGGGGCGTGCACGTGGCCGGCACGTAAAACTTTAGCATAAATGATCAAAAACACATTTTCTCCATCATGACTGAATTCTGACAGGAAACAACTGGGAAGGTGCCTCATCCTGGTTCCTGCGAGCACACCAAGAACCAATGAGGAAGCCATGTGAACTGAAGTACCTTCTTAGCCGCTGGTCCTCCTCGGACCTTCTTCGCTTCAGGTTTACCATCAGGGAGGTCCTCGCTGGCCGCCGCACACCTGGAGGCTGCGGGTGACAAATAACCAGAAATGATCAACAGCCAGGGCTCTAGAGGGCGACCAATCATGAGCGTGTTTGTCACTCAACTAGTAACCCGCGCCTTACTACTTCGCCACAGAACCGCTCATAACAGCGGTTTTCCTTAGCATAACAGCCGCCGCCCACTGGAGCCAGAAACAACCTCGAACTCCCCTTCAAAATAAAACGAATGCATAACTTTACTCTTGCATCTTTACCTCATCAAACCCTTACAACAATAATAAATCCCACAAATCTCACAACAACACAAAGTTGTGAGATTTGTTCTTTTCTACGCTCTTTAGTCGGTTTAGAGCTTTAATGTTTGAAATCGGTTCGACTGTTCCTGACAGCAGCTACGTTTAAGTGTTCCTGAAGCGTTGCTGCTCTGAGCTTCAGCACGTCGGTGTGGACTCTCCGTCATCCTGAGATTTCACTGAAAACAGCTGGACTTCTCTGGTTATCTACAAGACGTTTCACTTCTCATCCAAGAGGCTCCTTCAGCTCTAAACCTTGGAGGCTGAGAAACAAACACACCGATCGTGTTGAAAGTCTCATTTAAAAAGTAAAAACATATTTTTGTCTAAATGACTCCGGCCTTGATAGTCACAGCTGCTGTTTCACCTTCAGTGAAGCGTCGAACTGGAGGAGCGTCTCCATCTGTCAACGGGATGAGTTTCTGCCACAGGTGCATCTTTAGAAGCACAATTATTCCGCTGTTACATCGGAGTTAGAAAGAAAATGGAGGGTGGTTCATGAGGGATCATTTTGCTCTCAAGTCATTTGTTTTCATCTCCTTGTTCCATCTTTTCCTCTCAGTTTCTGCTTGACCCATCACAATTTAATTTCCAAATGATTCTTTTTAAATAATTCATGCCGTTTTCTGCAGGTTAAATGTCGCATTTGTCCATTTGAACTTTCATACAGTAATTAAAGAATGTCCTCAATGCTGAGACACCGCAGAGAAACACGCAGATTTGGCCGTCAAGAGTTGGGGGTGGACCGGACAGTACACATTGGGTAAACGGCCCACCAGGACTGGATTTCCGTAGAATCTTCAGATTAGTTTTACCTGCAGTGATGTTTGTAATCCAGCAGGTGTCAACAGACAAACATGGTGACAGTGTTGACACCCATCACTAGTATCTGTGATTGGCGGTAAAAACCCTGACCGGAGCATCCCTAAAAGAATTATTGGAAACGTTCTTGTCTAGTTAAAGTAGATTTCCGGAGTTTTCTCCTTTCAGAAATGACGTCCGATTTTTCAGAAATCCGTAAAAGTGATATCTCATTATGTACGGTGATGTAATGTAAGCAAAATGACTTTTTAGCACAACAGTTCCCTCTAGTGGCTGGTAGATGTAAACACTAACAGTGTTGCCCCGACAGAATAAAAATTTGATTATTTATCTTTTTAAACGAAGCTTTTAAAGAAGAAACTACATTCATTTGGCACACCTCTGAACGCCCCACAGAGGTTTTTTTTTTAAATCGGGAACATGACAGAAACAGCTGTTCTTATCCAGCTGAACAAGTTTTTAGAGACAAAAACCTGCTAGATAGTTTCCAGTGAGGCTTTAGACAACACCACAGCACTGAGACTGCACTGATTCAAGTATTAACTGATATTCGTGTAAATACAGATTTTACTGTTCTTGCTAATGGAAAGCACATTGAATTTCCTCCGTGTGTGAAACATGCTATAGAAATAAAGCTTGTTATTAAAATGTTCTATGTTGTAACTTTAAGGTCAGAGGAAGATCTCCTAATCCAATAATTCAGGATTGACAACCATCGCTTCATGCTTTTTGTCATTTTTTGTTTCATAAAGACAGGCTGCCCAACATCACCATAGCAACTAGCCTGGAGTTACTGAGATACAGCATCAGAAGAAGAAAATATCATTTCTATAGCACCTCTCAAGATAAAAATCACGAGGTGCTTCACAAAAACAAAAAATTAAAAAATATAAAAAATAATTTGGAAAATGATTTAAAATATATTTAAAATGAGCTAAACATAGACAATTGTGATTAAAAAACAAAATGTTAAGAAAGAGAGAGAGTGAATAGGGAAATCAGTGGATCCTGAGGAAGGTGGAATAGGTGGGGAGAGCAGAATAAAGAGAGAGTGGTGAAGAAGGTCATACAAAAGCCAGCTTGAACAAGTGAGTCTTCAGCTGCTTTTTAAAGTAGACCTCTGAGTCCACTGATCTCAGGCTCAGGGGGAGAGAGTTCCAGAGTCTGGGGACCACAGCAGCAGATGATCTGTCACCTTTGGTCTTTAGCCTGGTGCTGCACAACCAGTAGGCTTTGATCACTGGACCTCAGGGACCTGCTGGGGGTGTAGGGACTAAGAAGATCACCAATGTAAGATGGTGCTTGTCCATGTAAGGCCCTATAGACCAGAACCAGGATCTTGAAAAGAACCCTGAAGTTGACTGGCAGCCAGTGAAGCTGGAGGAGAAGCGGGGTGATGTGGGTGTGTTTGGAGGACTTGGTCAGAAGCCGAGCACAGGCATTCTGAACCACCTGTAGACGGTTCAGGGAGGTTCTGCTCAGACACGTGAAAAGGGAGTTACAGTAGTCTAAGCGTGAGGAGATGAAGGTGTGGAGAACTGTCTCAAGTTCAGAGCGAGACAGAATGGGACTCAACTTAGCAATGTTCCTGAGATGGAAGAAGGAAGAGCGAACAAGAGAACTGACATGAGAATCCAGGGTGAGAGCTGGGTCAAAGGTCACACCAAGATTCCTGACAGAAGGTATGGTGTGAGAAGCAAGCTGACCAAGAGAGTCTCTGACTTTGGGAACCAGCTTGTCTGGGGCACAGATGAGGATCTCGGTCTTATCTTCATTCAGCTGTAGAAAGCTCCCAGCCATCCAGGTTTTGATAGTCTAAGCAGGTGTGTAACAGCTGCAGCTTAGACATCTCATGGGGCTTAAAGGAGATATACAGTTGGATGTCATCTGCGTAAAGATGGTAGAAGATTCCTTTGAAGGAGCTCAGGATGTGCTGCAGAGCAAGCAGATAGAAAAGAAAGAGCAGAGGCCCCAGCACAGAACCTTGTGGGACACCATGGGTGAGGGAGGTGGTGGAGGACCTAAACTTGGAGATGGCCACAGAAAAGGAACGCTCAGAGAGATAAGAGGAGAACCACTCCAGAGCAGATCCTGATAGGCCTACCCAGTCTCTCAGCCTCTCCAGTAGCAAGTGATGGTCAACAGTGTCAAAGGCTGCAGTCAGGTCCAGCAGGACCAGAACAGAACAGTCCCCTGCATCACTGTGAGTCAGAAGGTCATTAGAGACCCTAAGAAGAGCTGTTTCAGTAGAATGAGCTCTACGAAAACCTGACTGGAAGCTATCATAGATGTTATGTTCATCAAGAGCAGCTGTGAGTTGTTTAGCCACAACCTTTTCCAAGATCTTGGAGATGAACAGAAGTTTAGAGATGGGTCTGAAGCTGCTATGGAGAGAGGGGTCAAGACTCATTTTTTGAAGAAGCGGGTGGATTACAGCGTTCTGAAAGTAAGCAGGGACCTGATCAGAAACCACAGAAGCATTAATTATAGAGAGCACGCTGGGACCGATGGAATGAAAAGCACTTTTAAACAAAGATGAGGGTAAGATGTCGAGGGGGCATGCAGAGGTCTTTATAGACCATGGAAGATGGTCTCTGAAAACAACAGCTAGGCCTCCACCACGACCAGAACCCCGGGGCTGGCTAAGAAAAGAATAACCACTCGGGCAGAGTTCAATCAGACCAGAATAATCAGATGTTTGCTGCCAAACTTCAGTCAGAAACGGAAAATCCAGGTTTTTAGAGAGAATCAGATCATTGAACAGGAAGGACTTATTGTTAACAGAGCGGGTGTTTAGTAGAGCCATGCTGAGTGAGGTGGAGGAATCAGAAACTACAGAAACAGCTGGAGTTAGTGGACGTAAATTAGCAGGGTTAGATCCACGGTGTTTATAAAAACCACTCATGGAGGGAACAGGAGGAGAAACCACTGAGGTAGAGTCCTGCACTGAAGCCATAGGCCCTCAGGTCGGCCCGGCCCTCGGGCCTTCGGGCCGGGCTTCGGGCCAACGACTGTGTAATTACCTCGGACACGGGCCGGGCCAGGCGCCTTTATTTTTAATCGAATTCATAAAAAAATTGAAACACTTAAATGCAGCAGTAGAGCCCTGCGCGGGACTGTTTTCTTCATCCCGCTCCTGCCCGCTCCCGCTGAATTTCTGACCATTACCGCCCGCAACCGCTACATGTGTTACACTCCCGCCCGCACCCGCAAAACTCGGAGAAATTATTACCTCACAATAAAAGAGATGTATTGAGTTTGCGTCCTCTCTGGTCCTGGAGAAAACATGTCATTTTATAGGCTATACCAGGGGTCGGCAACCCACGGCTCTTCCATCCATCTGATGCGGCACTCTGTGCTTGCAAAATAATGAATGGATATTTAAATAAAATGCTTTATATTTTACTGAATTAATTTTATATCTGCAAGTCAATTCTATGTAAAGATGTAAACCTGAACAGGTCCAACCCGGTCTTACTGTGAGACCGGGTTGACGCGTCACGCTTGTGTGTAATCATAGGCGCTTCCTGAGCTGAAGAGGATGTGAGATTCTGGGATTCTCCTCAGACGGCTCATGGATGTGTCGCCACATTGGAGACAGGAACAAGCGCTATTCAGCCAAAGTTTCATAATCAGGGAACATTTTCTAAGTGACAAGTCTCTCTGAGGGACAGGGTTTGGAAAACACTCGCTTCAGTGGGAGGAATCTTCCCACATGCGCTCTGGTTCTGCGACGCGCTCCAAGCCAATCTCCACAACTTCAGCTCCCTGTGCACATATGCGCTGAGCAGTGTCCAGCTCAGATGTTCAGATGGGAATCTTTTCTTGGGTGATTTAGCTACATCTGCAATGTGCGTAACGAATAAAATGTCAGTTCGTCTGCATGCGTCGGGGTAATTCCTTCTATTCTTTCTCCGTCAAAATAAACGGTCAAATACGGGAACTGTCCGGTCAACTCAAGCCCTGCTTTTAACTGTTCTGTTTTCTTGTGAAAATTGTTGGAAAGAGATAAAATTTAACTTGTTTACCACGAGAGCCAGGCGCACTGCGCCGTTATCTCCGTCGCTGTAAATGAGGGAAAAACAAATTGATCGGATCCTGCACGTCTTTTAACACATTGGTCAGGAAAGACGCACTTTGTTTTCATTTAGTTGGTTAAGAAAAAGTCGGGCTCGGGTCGGGCCAGAGAATCCTGAAAACCTTTTCGGACCGGGTTGGGCTGGGGCTCCACCCCCTAGGGCTGGGCCAGACACGGGCTCAGATTTTAGGCCTGTGCAGGGTTCTACACTGAGGAATGAGGATAAACCTTAAAAAACTTGGGACGGAGAAACCGCACCGCAACGCGGCCTGGCGGGAATGTGGAAGTGGCGCTCAAGTCGCCAAACAAAGGACAAGAAGGTAGAAGATCACGCCGATGTTTACTAGATAAACCAGGTGTCAGGTATGTGTGTCTTGTTGTAGCCATTCAGTCACCCAGCTGTACCGAGTCATGTCCAAGTTCTGAACATCTGGTTTCCTCCTGTTTTTAGGACTTGTCTTTTCTGCTGGACGTCCACCTGGGACTCCCTAGTCCTCACCATCTCAGAACACCAGCAGTAGTCAAAACCCACCTGAAGAAGCTCTAGCGGACTCAGCTGGTCCCTTCCCTCCCGTTTTGGCCGGCGCTGCAGGTTTAGCTGGCATCACGGCTCTGGCCTTCTCCAACATGGCCACCACCTGATCTTTGGAGGCAGGCTGAAGGGAGACGAGGACATGACAGGAAACCCGTAGCTGGGTACCGAACAGGTCTGCTGGTACCAGTACCAGTACCAGTTCCATACCTTGAGTTTGCTTGTAGCTTTGCTCATCTTGTCGAAGCCCAGGTGCATCATGAAGGTGGGCAGAGCATCCTGAGCCTTCTTCCTCACGTCTCCGTTTCTGTCCTCCAGGCAGGTGTAAAGTTGAGGGACACACAGCATCAAGTCTCCAGGGACTGTTCTCAGGGTGGGCAGCTTCTCCGCCAGCCAGCCAAGCAGCTGAGAGCGAGAACGAGACTTTTAGCCTCCGACCTTTATCCCGATTGTGGTTTAGATGAAGATGTGTGAGGTGATGAAGAGCTAACCTCCTGTCGGAGGAAGGGATTCTCCCTCTTCAGCTCCTCAGACATATCTTCTCCCTCCAGCCAGTCCTTCATCCCAGTCTGCTCCACCCAGGCCTGCAGGGTCGTCATGGCCGCCGTCCTCACGTTTGGCTGCAGACACAAACACCTTCCATTACAGAGGAGCTCGGCGCTGAACCGTCTGGACCCTCCGGCCTTTTCCCACCTTGCTGTCTCCCAGGACCGTGATGACGGGGAACCCCAGAACTCTGATGTGCTGTTTGAGTCCTGGTCCCATGGCTGCAGCCAGCTGCTGCAGGATGCTCAGGGTCTGCTGAACCTGTGGATCACAAACATGAAGACTCATCCTCTCAGGAGGAGCTGTGTTTGAAAGCAGTGAGACAGCAGGGTGGGAGGACTGGTTCCAACCCTTACCAGGATTTTATTAGAGTCGCCGAGTCGTCCTTTAATGGCCAGAGGAAGATCTCCGATGTTGGCTGTGATGAACTTTGCCTCTGAGATGATGGCCGCTGCCTCATCCAGACCTTCTTTCCTGATCTTCCAGTTCTTGTCTCCTATTTTAGACACCAGGTCGGGTGTGATCTTATCACTGGGAGGAAGAGGAGCAAACCGTTACGAGCCGATACTGTAGGGTGACTCCACAGGTCTGGCTTAAGAAGGACAAACAACACTATTTGGATCAAATCAGGAAAACAACCTGCTTTTCAAAATAAAACTGTTCCGTTCAGGATTTTTTTCTTTCTTTTGCTAAATCATAAAAATCACTCCTGTTTTCGCTTCACGTTGCGAGTTCAAAACCTAAAACACAAACTAATTGAGTTTCAAGTCTCAAACATCTGATTAAATGTTACCTGATATCAGTGCGGGGTAGTAAGTCCATGATGTCCTGTCCTCCTCCTCCTCCTCCATCTTCATCCTGCTCCTCACCTTCATCGCCCTCCTCCTCAGCTGCTGCCTTCTTGGTGAACCTGCTGGGAGCAGGAGGGGACTGGCCCTGCATCTGTGAGGAGAACAAAGGCTTTTGGTTTCTTCTCAGCTACATGAAGTTCCTGCTGATCCACCCTGAAGCTCCGTACCTTCTCAAACTCTGAGTCTATCTGAGCTAGGAGAGCCGGCTTCTCATCCTCGAAGAACATGCGCAGCGGCGGCCCCATGTACAGGTACATGACCCCCAGCAGGGTGATGGCGGCGGTCCGGACTGCCGGGTTTGTAGCTCCCAGAGCCGTCTTCACGTTGTTTATGAATCCTTTAACGTTGATGCTGCAGAGGAGAGAGTTCCAGATACCTGAAAAGGTCCTAAACAGCTGGTTAAATGAAACCACCACCAAGCTTGAAGGAAACAGGAAGTTACCCTGTGAACCCAAACTCCTTCATAGCGCTGGCCAACCAAGTAAGAGTCTCCGCCTGGTTTTTAGGGTTCTTCTGTGAAAATGCCATGGAGACGACCTGCAGAACAAAATGATCCACATTCTTCACGCTGAACATCTTTCTCCTCCTCTACCTGTCCAGCTCTGCCAGCCTTTACCTGCTCAGCAGTCCACGGCAGCGAGCACGCCTCTCCAATCGCAGTCAGAGCTTCTTTAGCGTTCCCCCCACACTTCACGTCTCCAACCTTGTCCACCAAGCCGTCCAAAACCACAGACGCTGATGTCTTGGAGAACTGTCCTCTCTCAGCGACAAGGGCCACGACATGCAGCTTCAACTGCATCACCTGCACAGTCACATGACCAGACAGGTGTGTTAGTGTTTGTCAATTACAGACTCTGAGGAATCAAACAGCAAAGGTCAAAGTTCAGATGGCAAATGAGTTTGTTCAATAAGTTTAAGAATTTAACATCTTAATGTGGTAAAGGTGCATTAACCACCATCATCATCATCATCTTCATCTTCATCATCACCACCACCACTATTACTACCTCCATCATCATCATCTTCATTACCTTCATCATCACCATCACCACCACCACTACTACTACCTCCATCATCATCATCACCACCGATAGGGCTGTAGCGAAGCCTTGATGACGTCGATGTCGATTCTAAAAATTTGATGTCATATCCGGTAGTCGATGCACCGCGCCCACTTGTTGCATCCCCAGGAGTTTGTAAATAGGAGGAGGAATCTGCCTGTTTTTCCTCTAGTTCGCCCTCTTCTCTGCCTTCACTAACATCTCCGCTAAATACCGAAGACCCGGAACAATGTTCGTCTGCTAATAGATTCCCTTTCCTGTTTTGCCCGCCTTTGTCTCCCGGCAACGGACAACAACTTCCGGGGTCAGATGCGCTGCTCCGTCTCTATCGCAGATGTAGAAAATCACCGGGAGCGTTTCTCCCTTCATAAAGGAGCTTCTTTCAGACATTAGGAGAGCTGTTTTGGTGGGAGCAGTCTCTCCTCCGTGCTGGTCTGTTTGCTGGGTGTTTTTGTTTTATTTTAACTTGGTAACTTGAACTTAACGTTGGTAAAGCTACTGTTAGCATTTTCGCTAACAGCTTCTTGCGTTTGGATAAGCTGTTACGTTTTTGGTTTAGAGTTAATCGTTTTTGTGGTGTAGATCTCCCTTTTATTACATTTAGAGTGTTGTGGGTTTTCGGTTTAGTGTAAAATATCACCTTGAGTTTGGTTTAACCGCCCAGTTTAGAGTTTGGACCTTTGGAGATCCTTATTTTGGTCCAGAACCCAGTAATCTTTGCCCAGTGGGACATCCCTATTTATTTGTACTTTTGTTTTAATTCCCCACAGGCAGAATTAGTTTTATTATTCCCAACGTGTGGATGGAAAGATTTATGTTTGTTGTAGTTGTAAATAAACCTGATCACCATTTTAACTTTTAAATCCCGTTATTGTCCCTTCCTTTTTGCACACGAGCCAAAATCCCCAGGAAGAGTCGCAACACCACTCGCCTCACGCACATAAGTGACCAAAACAAAGCAGCATGGAGACACTCCGTCTCCAACCACCTCTCAGGCAGCAGCCTGCACTCCCGTGTTTTAAATTGTTACCAGAACATAACCAACCGCAACACAATAAAAGCAGTGTTATACAAAATGGAAGGCCTGTAGTGCTTAATCTCTTACAGTAACAATTTATCAATTTTTCTTGAGGAATTTATTAAATATTTTTTGGTTTTTATTAACTGTGCGATAGAAAAAAAATCATTAGATTAATTGTCTAAATAGTCATTAGAATAATCGACTATTCGATAAAATAATCGTCAAAATAATCGTTTTAAAAATAATAGTTTACACCCAGCCCTAACCACCACCACCACCACCACCACCACTACTACCTCCATCATCATCACCATCACCATCATCATCACCACCACTACTACCTCAATCATCATCATCATCATCACCACCACCATCATCCTCATAATCATCACCACCACTACTACCTCAATCATCATCATCATCACCACCACCACCACCACTACCTCATCATCATCATCATCACCACCACCACCACCATCATCATCACCACCACTACTACCTCAATCATCATCATCATCATCACCACCACCACCACCACCACCACTACCTCATCATCATCATCATCACCACCACCACCACCACCATCATCACCACCACTACTACCTCAATCATCATCATCATCATCACCACCACCACCACCACCACTACCTCAATCATCATCATCATCACCACCACCACCACCACCATCATCATCACCATCATCATCACCATCATCATCACCACCACCACCTCCATCATCATCACCATCACCACTACCTCCATCATCATCACCATCATCATCATCACCACCACCACTACCTCCATCATCATCACCACCACCATCATCTTCATCATCACCACCACCACTACTACTACCTCCATCATCATCATCACCACCACCACCACCACCACTACCTCATCATCATCATCATCACCACCACTACTACCTCCATCATCATCACCACCACTACTACCTCAATCATCATCATCACCACCACCACTACCTCAATCATCATCATCACCACCACTACTACCTCCATCATCATCACCACCACTACTACCTCAATCATCATCATCACCACCACCACTACCTCAATCATCATCATCATCACCACTACTACCTCCATCATCTTCATTACCATCTTCATCATCACCACCACCACTACTACCTCCATCATCATCATCACCACCACTACTACATCAATCATCATCATCATCACCACTACTACCTCCATCATCTTCATTACCATCTTCATCATCACCACCACCAATACTACCTCCATCATCATCTTCATCACCACTACTACCTCAATCATCATCATCATCACCACCACCACTACTACCTCCATCATCTTCATTACCATCTTCATCATCACCACCACCAATACTACCTCCATCATCATCTTCATCACCATCTTCATCACCACCACCACCACTACTACCTCCATCATCATCATCATCATCACCACCACTACTACTACCTCCATCATCATCATCTTCATCACCACCTTCATCATCACCACCACCACCACTACTACCTCCATCATCATCTTCATCACCACCACCACCACCACCACTACCTCCATTACCATCATCATCATCATCACCACCACCACCACTACTACCTCCATCATCATCATCTTCATCATCACCTCCACCACCACTACTACCTCCATCATCATCATCACTACTACGGTTATTACAATCACTCTAACAAATGTTATTTTCCAAGTCCTGACTGTAACTCACCACAAAAATTAAAAAAACTACTGAAGAAGACGGCAGAAGTGGATCAGTAATCTACGGCTTACAACAGGAACTGACAAGACGATGCTGGAGCTTACAGAGATTACTTTCTAACAGGTAACAAATTACTGAGTGTTTTATTAAACAGTTGCTTAGAAACAGCCATAAAAACCACAGGTTAACAGTTTTACACCGTTTTCATGTGCCCTCACTGCTAATAGCTTTCAGAGTGCTAATGTTTTTAGCAGTTAGCTTTGTGTTGTAACGTGTCGTTTATGCCTTTATGAAATCAAACGTACCAGAAATGTGGATTTTAAAAGGCATAAAAACTTAGTTACAAGTAGATCCTAGCACATATCGATCGTTAGCATTAGCGATTATTATGTGAACTAATGGGTCATAACCTAGAAGATGTATTTTTTTGCTACATCGCGTCTGTGCCAGCTCATTCAAAGCCTTCGCCTTCATCCAGCGTGCCGATATATCGCTGTGCTTTGTTGCGCAGCAAAACATTTCCTGTCCCTCATTTGAGTTTTGCGCGGCTGCAGAAGTCATGAGAGTGAAGCCAGCAATACGGCAAAGACAAATGGTTTCGTTGATAAACAGAGCACCGTTTACCTGGAAGTTTGTCTCCTTCCAGCCTGGTTTCTTGGCCAACATCCTGACTAAAGCCTGGCAAGGTATTGCTGCCTTGTCCATGGTTTCCACCACCTGCAGACATTCACATTTAAGACAGCGACCTGTTAGCCAGTGGGAGCTTTTCAGATGTCAAGAGTCAAAACAGGGCATTTACCCTCTGGAACTCCTCCATACTGGCCAGTCTCTCTTTCCAATTGGTGGAGTCCAGCTGCTGCAGACAGGAAGCAGGAAGTACGCCTGCTGCCAGTTCCTCACACGCCTCAGCCTGAAGGAACACACCATCCACCATCAGAGTTCATCACAGTCTTAATGTTGAAGTCCTCAGAACCAGACCAGGAACACCAGAGGGCTGTTCCACGAAGCAAGCTTAGAAAAATCAAGGCTCATTTGAAAATGCCTTCCTTGAATTAGCGCACCAGTTCACACCAAGCTCATTCGGGTCAGCGAAAGACGCTCAGGTGGAATTAATGCTCGCGGATTCAAGTGAGGAGCGAGGCTCATGATCAATGCCAGATAAATGAGAAAGTACCTTGTTCATCTCCCAGACAAGAGGAAGAATTATTAATTCATGCCTACGAGGACTACAGAGAAATCAGAAGTAAAACAGAGACCACCAGCTGCTTGATTAAAGCTGTGCAACTGGAGCCATTTAGTTAGAATGCTTAGTGTTTGCATGTTTCCATGGCAACACATGTTTTTCATATTCCATCCCAGAGTCTAGACGTTTAGAGGCTTGAGGACTGGCTTGAGGACTGCTGAACTACTGTAGCCTGGTCTGCCAGACTCCTGTTTAATTCTGCACAGAGAAAGGCTCTGGGAACTCTCCTATTCAAATAGCCCCGCCCCCTGAGAATTCTAACTGAGCCAATCAGCGTTGAGTAGCGTACGTCACACCACAAAGCTCAGTTTGTCATAAACATGGCGACTGAAGCGGAGGTCGCTGCGGCTCTTTCCTCTGTTCTAAATGACTTGAACACGTCTTTAAAACAACAAGCAGAAGCGCTAAAAGCCTTTCTTCTAAAAAAATTAAAGATGTTTGCGCCGTCGCGACACCTTTTTTTGACTACAGCTAAAAAAAACACAGTGCGGCGCGGTACAGTCAGCATTTCTGTCTTTTTTCTGATTGGTTATTTTTTTTGAGCTGCCTAGTCCCGCCCCTCATGTGCCGCTCTGCCTGTGAGTTACCAGACTCTCTCTGTGCAGAATTAACCAGAGGACGAGACTGGCAGGCCAGGGTAGAACTAATGTGAGTTTTAAAGAGCAAGTCACCCCCAAATCAACTTTGCTGATAACTACATAAATGAGTGTCTAAACATGCTGTAGACATGTGTAGCTAATAATTTGACACTAAAATTTAAATATTCTGCCTAAAACGATCAGTGTTGCATCATCTTCAGGTAAAAACTCTGCACAGCATTTGAATATAAATCTGTCATCGCTATTGGCCAAGAGGAACCCTATGATGTTAGCTGGTACATTATGGTGTGACAATGTTGTGATCCTGTGTGTGTGTATTTGTTAGCGGCTCCGCCCTCTCACACTGCTAGGCAACAGCATTTGTTGCATTTTTCTCAAACAGGAAGTGGGAGTGGAGTAAAGCCTGGGGCATGCTGGAGGCAGACACACCGCATCGCGCCCGCGCCGTCATTTAAAACAGAAGCCATAATGGAGAGTGGGCACACGGGCAGCAACGTGTTGAGGCGTTGAAGATAGGCACCAGTTCTATGTTCACAACATTGTGGAGTACTTTACAGACGTTAAGACGTGGAATGGCTTTACAGCACAAACCCAACCACAGTTTTGATAACTTTAACGTACTATTGAACTTCAAAAATTCAAATAGTGTATTCACCCATTTTTTAATGAATTTGAGAATCACAAAACACAACGGTAAGTCTGATCACGTATAAACAATAAGAGTCACTTCGCCCTTTGCGACTATCGCGCGACTTTCCAAGAAGCGCTCAGCGGCGCGTCCTGTGTGCCCGCTTGACGTCTTAAATTCTCGGGCGCTGCGCGCCGCCTCCGGTGTGCCCAAACTCAAGACTCTGGTAGTGAGTGACTTGCTCTTTTGAGTTTGTGTTGGTCATGTCATGTGACCCTAGAGTGTTTCGTGCAGTAAAACCATTTCTAAGTCACAAAAACACATTTAGCTAGAGAGCGTTTTCTGTTTGTTGTTAAAACATCTTTAGTTCATTCTTACAAGTCCTACTTTTAGCTTATTTTTACATAAAGTGGACATAATGTTGATTATATGGGACCATCCCAGACAACAGCTGATATATAATTATACTTAATGATGACATCAGCAGCAACAGTATTCAGACTGATGAGATGTAATCCCAAATAGAATTTAATTTTTAAAGTTTTAACTCCACATGAACTACTCTCATTTGAAAATTCATATTTTCTGAAAAGACACTTGAGCCTTTTCTCCCAAAGCAATGGATAGTGGCTAATACATTACATCCAAGTCTGCTTCGATGTGGACTTGGGTGAAATGTGGATCAAGGGTACAAAAGGGGCGTGATCAACTCCCACACTTCAGAATCGGGACACCCTATGCACTCGCACCCCTAGTTGGGATCGTGCAGTTGAAGGGCGCAAGGGTGAAAGTGCGAGTTTGGGATTGAGCCATCTTCGCTAAGCTAAAATGTGTCGTTCCACAGATGTGGCTTCAGGTTAGGGTATGATGGAAGATTCAGAAAGGCTTTCAGATGTTTGTTTAAATTATTATAGCTACACCAAGTTAGTTTGGTGAGCCTCTTTGGCCCTGCTGAGGAAAGTCAGGCTCCAGCCCTTAGCTCCGAGTCAAACTGACACCTGGATGGTGTCTGGTCAGGGTTGGGCTGGTTTCTCAGATGACTTACAGAGAGCTCCGTTTCTGTGGACTCTTTACTGCTGGAGGCCTTCTTTGTTTTTCCTGCAGCTGCAGATGCTGATTTCCCTTTTTTAGCTGGACCAGAAGACGGCTGCAGAACACAGAATATTCATCTTAATCATGGAAAAGTTAGAATTCTGCAGACAAGAACCACCAGCGCTCAGTTTGTCCGAACCTTGCAGGCGGCAGAAGTTTGGGTTTTCTTAGGTGGAGCAGCAGATTTTGGAGCTTCAGCAGCAGGAGGCGGAGCTTTAGCTGCAGGTTTCCTCTCCACTGCTGCTCCTCCAGAAGCTCCTTTCCTCCCTCCAGGCAGCTCGACTTTATCAGCACACTCTTTAATCTGTAGGAAAACAAGTAGCCTTGGTTAGCAGCCGAAGGCAGGACACAGCGCTGAGCTTTTCCTCGGCAGAGCTCACCTTATCCAGTTTGAGTTTATCCAGGTCCGAAAGGAACGGGTTCACGGCTTTCTCCCCCACCACCTTCATGGCTGTTCCCAGAGCTTCAAAAGCAGCATCCCGAACCTCCGAGGCAGAGTCGTTCACTTGCTGGGGGGTTAAAGTAGAAATGATGGACATTAAAGAGCAACTCACCCCCAAATAAACTTTTTTTTCTGATAAACTATATAAATGTGTGTTTAATCATGCTGCAAACACGTGCAGTGAATAGTTTTGCACTTTAGTGCATTTTTGTTCAAATTATAATTTTCTGCCTAAAGCAGTGTTTTGCCGTTGTCAGGTAAAAACTCTGCACTGCAGTTGAATTTAAATATGCCATCGCTATTGGCTAAGAGGTACCCTAGAACGTTAGCTGACACCATATGATGTCACAATGTCGTTGTGAGCCTGTGTGTGTGTGTGTATTTGTTAGCGGCTCCGCCCTCTCTGTCCGGTGGGCAACAGCATTTGTTGCATTTTTCAAACAGGAAGCAGGAATTTTTAAATTTCTTTCCAGGGTTTGGCCCTCGCTCTAGATCTCCGGTACCTTAATGAGAGCAGCACAGAACGGCTTGAGGACGCTCTTGGGCAGCGTGGCTGGGGTGCAGAGTCGGAAAGACCGAGCCAAAAATAAAGAGGCCTGCTGTTTGATGGACGGGTTTTTATTGTCCATCACAGCCAAGACGTCCTCCGACAGGTTCTGGAGCGTTGTCTGGGAAACAAAAGATATGAAGGGAAAAGACCTTTTAGGATTCCATAAGGAACACATCAGGGTCAGTAATCAGATTACACACAGGATGAGCTTTTACATATTCAACGTAAACAAAGAGTCCAGAAAACGACCCGGTCCTGCTTGGTGCCCGAGTCGTCAAAAAGTCCAACTAAGTCCTTCCACAAATAAACCACATCAAAGCTAAAGCAGGAGGTGTGTGCGTGCGTGCGTGTGTGTCATCATCTCAAGGCTCTCAAAGGTAACAGGAAGGCGTCGGACCTTTGAATCCGGACACCAGAACAGAGGAGACTGTTGTGCTGGTAAAGAAGTCTGATGTCCTTCGGGCTTGCCATAGTTGTATGAGAACATGCAGGAGTTTATGGGGGTTGGGGTTTTTATTCTATATAAAACACAACAAGCACGATTTCTGGACCGTCCTGGTGTGCAGTAGGGCTGCAACAACGAATCGATGAATTCGATGAAAATCGATTACTAAAAGCGTTGGCAACGAATTGAGTCATCGATTCGTTGTGTTGCGCAACTCTTCCAAAAGTCCCCTCCCCTCCCGCCCGCCGTTGCGCGCAGACCGGTGGAGAGCCGGCAGGTGTTTGTAAGAGGAACATGGCAGAAGCAGCGAGACCACAAAAAAGTAAAAACTTCTAAAGTTTTGGAGCATTTTCAGTTAAATCAGGCAAAGACATGCAACGTTTGTAGGTCAGACTTAGCATGGCACAGGGATACTACGGAGATGATGCAGAGTCTTAAACGCAAGCATGTCAGAATCATCAGCGAGGAAGGAGAGAGCTCAGTGTCCGGGTAAGTTAAAAACTTTTCAAAAGTGATTCACCCAAGCCCCAGATTATTACACAGGCTAGACATGCCCTAAGCTCGTAAAAAAAGTCTATAAAATTGTAAGCGTGACGCCATTTGATAGTCGGGGGAGGGGGGGGGGGGGGGGGGGGGGAACTCGCGCCGCTGCGAACCGGTTCCGCCGTCACATTCCCGCAGAAACTGGTTGATCACACCAGGGCCAGACTACTAGCATGTGGCTTTACAACCACAATGTCCTCAGAAGCGAAAACGCTTTTAAAAGGGAGGGAGGAGTCCTAACTGTTGCTGCAGGCGTGTTGTGTGAGAGTGCAGTTATATACTGGTTAATATATTTTTGGGTTCAGTTGCTTTCATGTGGCCTAATGTGAGTCTATTTGGGATCATTGGAATGATCAGCAGCATTTCTTGATGTGACTTTATGGCAGTTGCCCCGGGCATCATGGCAAGGAGGATGGCATTCATTTACTTTTGTTTTATTTGGTATTTTTCAGTCATTTTTGGAAATAGTGATTAATTTTGATTAATTCACAGCCTATGTTTAATTACATTTAAAAATTAGTTGTTTGACACCCCCAATTATAATAAATGTCTACAGATGAGATCAAACAAAACAGAGAATTGCCCTTAAAAGCAAGTCACCCCCAAATAAACTTTTTTTTGCTGATAAACTAAATAAACGAGTGTCTAATCGTGCTGCAGACACGTGTCATCAATAATTTGGCACTTCAGTGCATCTTAGTTAAAATTTAAATATTCTGCCTAAAACTGGCATTGTTGTGCCGTTGTCAGGTAAAAACTCTGCACTGTATTTTAATTTAAATCTGCCACCGCTATTGGCCAAGAAGTATGCCATGATGTAAACTGGTACATTATGATGTCACAATGCTGTCGTGAGCCTGAGTGTGTGTGTATTTGTTAGCGGCTCCGCCCTCTCGGTCTGCCAGGCAACAGCATGTGTTGCATTTTTCAAACATGAAGCGGGAGTGGAGTTAGACTCTGGTAGGGGTTGACTTGCTCTTTAAGCTGTTTAATTTGGACCAAGCATTTTAGGTCACAGATAGTTGTAGCTTAGGGTCTCTGTCTATACGCCTTATAAGACAATTTAGGTGATGGCATGTTGTTTTTCTGCTATTGAACTGTTTTCTAATAATGTTGTGTTTAATAAAGTGAAGGAAGGAGAAAAATAACGTTTCCCGAGCAGTTTTTAAAAATGTCCCTATGTAATCCGATTAATCGATTAATCGTGTCGAGACCCCATCCGATTAATCGATTATCCAAATAATCATTTGTTGCAGCCCTAGTGTGCAGTGAAAGGTGAGGACACGTACAGACGTCTTGGCGCATGCGCCGAGTGAGCGGTTCTGGGACATCTTAGTTGTGGTGCTGCTTCAACAGCGCGATAGCTTCATGAGGGATGACCAGAATATCACGCATGTCTGATTCTAACTAACCCCCGGTACACAACGCAAAACCCGGCCCAACCTCAAAGATCATCACACCAGCAGCTCAGAATGGGCAGAAAAATCACAGTTTATGTCCAGATTCTAATACACCAGAGGTTCCGACAAGTTTATCCTTATGTTTTCTTAAAGTAAAAATTTTATCCAGTTTTAACAAATGAAAATTTGAGAGAAAAACTTTTACTCTAAGATTTAACCTTCCCACTGTCCCAATGGGTGTGACCCCACGAAGAAAATTGACCATTGAGCAGGGTTGATGGTTTATCCCTTGGATCCATGTTAGAGGTGTGAATCTTCACTTGTCTCCCGATTCGATTATGATTATTGGGTCAACGATTCAATTCGATATCCCGATGCATCACGATTATTTCATATGGATTTGTTTTCATCAATAAATAGAAGATGTCAGATAATTGCTTTTTATTTTTTTAATCAAAAAAATCCCAGAGGCTGCTTCCAGACTTTGGTTGTGGTCAGAAACAAACACACTGGTTGTGCTGCAAGTCTTTTTCTTTTTTTCTCCAAAACGTGTTTTTGTTTAAATGAAGGTGATGTTGTTGTTCATAAAATTAAAATTCATGTTTAAGTTAAGATTGTTTCATCAAGTAGGACCTGTGGTTAGCTGGCTCATGTAAAATATGTCATGTCTTGAAAGAATCGGAATCGGGAATCGATAGGAACCGGAATCGAAATGAGGAATGGGAATTGGAATCTGAATCGTTCAAAATCAAACAATGCCCAACCCTAGCCACGCCCCAGTTAGGCCGATTCTGATGTAGCAATGACTTCATTTCCACAGTTCTGACTTTAGAACCATCCAAAGTTAACTAAATGATAATAAATGAGCCGTTTTACCGTGAGGAAGATGGCGTCGATGGCCTCCTGCAGGGCCTGGACTACCTGAAGCTTTTTCTCCTTGAACTTCTCCAGAATGGTTGGAACCACCTAAGGAGAAGGTTCTGTGAGAACTGCTGTGGTCCGCTACCATCTCCATTCAGGTTTCATGTTTGAGTAACTTCAGAGCTGTGACCCACTCACCTGTCCTGCATACGTTCCAAACTTCTTCCTGAGCCCAGTAGCCAATCCAGCCAGACATTTAGCCGCCAAGGACACCAGCATCACGTTAGCATCTTTCCCCACAACCTGAACCAGGACAAAGTCACAGCATCCCATCATCCGACACCATCTAGGACAACTGAACCACCTAACCCAGCGGTGGAGCTCAGAGATGAGCCAATGCTGATAAAACCTCATGAATACAGCAAAGCAAAGCCCCGGGCTGCAGGTTCTACCTCCTCAGGGCTGCTGGAGACTTTACCTTCTTCAAGGCTCGAACAAGGTCTCCATAGTCTCCGTTCTCCAGTTTAGGGTTCTTAGCTAGAACCTCCACAGCCTCCAGAGCTTCTTTCCTCTCCTGCCACTTCTTTGCTTCCTGCAGAGAGAGGAGGAGAGAATAATGAGCGGCTATCCCCATCGCCCTGACACAGGACATGTTGGTAGAAGATGTTGGGCACCAAGCCACCTGGTTGGCACCAACTCACTGGAAGGTAAAGATCCCCTGAAGCCCGTTGTGACCATCTATTGCTGTGAAGCATCAGATTTAAACAATCCCCATGGCTGATTTATGAAAACACAAACTTACGATCTTCTCATAGAAGTCTTTAGGGACCTTGGACAGAATCTCCACCGGTTCCAGGAGCTCATAAGCATCCACAGCTGCAGCCGTATCCTCCTCATCCTCTCCTGGAGGAAGAACAGAGTTAGTAGAGTGTTATCAAACAGCTGATCCCACCCAGTCTCACCCACCATCAGATGGCTCTCCTTGTGCTTGTTGCTGCTCAAACTTTGCTTTGAGGTCCTGCTGGGAGCGTAGGAACCTGGTCTGCTTTGGGGGGGCTGGAGGTAGCTTCACCCACTCCTCCTCCAGCTCCTTCAGCTGCAGGAATAGAGCAGACATCATTTTACCTGTTTAAGTTACCGACAGTGAAGCTGAGGCTCCGTTTGATGACGTACCTGAACAGAGTTGATGTTCTGCAGCGAAGGTCTCAGAGCATCTCGGATCCACCTGTAGATCTCCACAGCCAGCAGCTTGGCTTCATCTCTCACAGCCTTCTCTCTGGACTCAAACTGTTTGGGTAAAACCTTCACCACTGGCTTCAGCAGCACTATCTTTGACCCAAACTCACTGTGAGAAGAGGACAGATGTAGACACTGAAGCTGTAACTTCACAGGTAAGCTGACCCGTTACCAGGTCAGAACCAGAGCCAGTACCGACCTCAGAGCCTTGCGGAGCGTCTCGATGCAGGACACCACTATCTTTGGGTTCTTGTTATCCAGCCCCTTCAGCAGCTCGTCCTGGACGACCTCAGCCTTCTCGATCTCGATGTACGTGAGGCAGATGTCCATTCCCAGCTCTTTGGCTCGGGCCTTGGGCTGGTTGAACACTTTGGTCACAACACCCGACACCACCTCGCCCGTCGTCCTGCAGCAGAGACAACGTCAGATTAGCACAGGCCTCTACTTTATAAGTGATGAAAACCATCAGAGGTCATCAGATAAAGCTGTCTGCAGCTGCACCACCGAGGGGTGCAGGACATGTCGTCACCACTTACTTGCCAGCCACATGTGCGTTGTCTACGAAGGCCAGAGCAGCTTCCAGGCCTTTGAGCTGAGCCACAGCGTTGGAGTCGGTGACAAACTTCTTTATCAGGCCCAGATACTTCCCCCATTCTGGACTCTTCTCGTCTTGTATCCTCTGGAACAACTTCAGAGCTTCTTCATAACCGTTCAGTCGGGCTTTCCACACCTGTGGGAGACAGCGGTGAGGAACAGAGACGTCTGACACTCATGGAGACATCCTCCTTTAAATAAAACAGATCTGAGGCTAAGGGATGGTTTTCTCAGCTCTTCTAGTGACAGAGGAGCAGATGAGGTCTCTGGACTGAACTTCCTCTAGCTCCCTGGCTGAGTGAAGGCAGCTCTAGTGCAACAATCATCATAAAGGCTGTGAAACGTTTAACTTCCTCCACCCATCAGACAAGTTCGACCCCAACAGCCAACAACTAAATTATAATCAGTTTCTGTCATTTATCTTTGCTAATGTTGATTAGCTTAAAGCTAGGATGGCGTTACAGCATTCAGACATGAATGCTGGGATTACGGGGTTCTCCGAGACTGGATTAGGTTAATCCTGAATGTAAAACCACGTAGGGATCTAAACAAACACAGTAAGCACATCTGAGGGAAGCTAATCTGACAAAGAGCAGAGCAGCTGAATCCAGTTTCGGTCCAGTGTTCCTGCTTCATGTCAAATGTGTAACAGCTTTGGGTTCAGATCTGTTTATTACAGCTGGCCTGGTTAACCAGGACACCCAGAGCTGCTGGACATCACTATTAATCTCTGATTTGGGACTCTAAAGGAAACTTGACTTTGGTCACCTTATGTTCACATTTCTGGTCGACAGGAAGCTTCATCCACTCACTATCGTCCCCCATGGCGTCTGGTCGGGGGCTGGGCTTCCCCAAACGTTACTCAGCTAGAAGAGAAAATTAAATAAGCTCATCAGGGACACTCAGGTCAGGTTTGTTGCTGCTGATCTCCGATGGCAAAAACATGGATGGACATTTCTATGTAGTTATAATGAGCGCTACGGACATGATCTGGGAATAAAGGAAGAAAAACATCACCTAAAAAGGCCGGGATTCATTTAGACAAAAAGAGGTTTTTTTACTTTTTAAATGAGACTTTCAACACAGTCTGTGTTTGTTTCTTAGCCTCCAAGGTTTAGAGCTGAAGGAGCCTATTGGATGAGAAGTGAAACATCTTGTAGATAACCAGAGAAGTCCAGCTGTTTTCAGTGAAATCTCAGGATGAAGGAGAGTCCACACCAACGTGCTGAAACTCAGAGCAGCAACACTTCAGGAAGACTTAAACCAGGGTATCTGCAGGTTTAAGGGAGCCAAATTTAAGACTTTTTAAGACCTTTTTTAAGACCACTTTGACCAAATTTAAGCTAATTTTTGAAATTTCTGCTATAATTTCCAGCTATTGCCTGGAACAGGTGTTAACCACGTCGCGAACGTATGATTAGCCATCCATATACCATTAAACTTGCACTTGCCCATGGCGCAAGCTCCCACTAGCTTAACCAGCTAATGTGCTCATCTAAAAATAGCCCCCTCTCACAACCAACTGAATGTGTACGGTTCCGCTTACACCAACATCATACACAAAAATGCTCATCACTAACTAGAAATTCACAAAAATTTCATAGAAATAAAATAATTTAGTTTATTGGGTCTTTGGTTATTTAAGACCTTTGGAAACTGTATTTAAGAATTATTTGTCATTTTTAAGGATTTTCAAGGCCTTAAATTTGGAAAAGTAAATTTAAGACTTTAAGACTTTTCAAGGATACCCTGTTAAACGTAGCTGCTGTCAGGAACAGTCGAACCGATTTCAAACATTAAAGCTCTAAACTGACTAAAGAGTGTAGAAAAGCAACAAATCTCACAACTTTGTGTTGTTGTGAGATTTGTGGGATTTATTATTGTTGTAAGGGTTTGACGAGTTAATGATGCGAGAGTAAAGTTATGCATTCGTTTTATTTTGAAGGGGAGTTCGAGGTTGTTTCTGGTTCCAGTGGGCGGCGGCTGTTATGCTAAGGAAAACTGCTGTTATGAATGGTTCTGTGGCGAAGTAGTAAGGCGTGGGTTACTGCGGACAGGAACCTGAATAAAACACTCCTAGCCGGGTAACCTGAGAGAGTCAGAGTCATTATGTTATTAGATTTATTTATTTAAGACCTGCAGAAGGTCCGAGTGGGTGGTACCTGGTGTTGTCCACCACAGAAGTCTCCTCTAGCATCGCTTTATTATCAGGTTCGTTGCTCAGCCTTCTGAGAGTCACTGCGTAGCTCTCTGCAGCTTGCTGTCTGGGCCACGGAGCTAAGTACTACATGGCAGGAGGATTTCCTTATGTGGTCCTTTCAGCTCCATCAACTAGGGCTGAACGATTTTGGAAAATAATCTAATTGCAATTTTTTCCCTTCAATATTGCAATTTAATTCACAATTATTTTCTCAAGGGGGGATTCTCATTTTTCAACTAACGGAAGCAAAAAAAAGATCTATGTAACTTGTACTGAATATAAACAAGTTTATGTATCTACATATATCAACAAGTTTATTTGTCTACACATACTCACAAGTAAAGACAACATCTTATATTTGAAGGTGCAATGCTTTGCAGCCAGGTGCACATCCCTTGGAGGAGAATAGGTATTAGCATCAACTGTGAAATATTTTTTGCAGGAAAGAAGTGTGTCCCATTTAGTTTTTGACGTCTTGTCCATGCAGAGCTTCCGTAGTTCAGTTACGTTCACAGCTGCTAGCCAAAACTCAGTGGAGTTGAAGTACAGTTTTCTAGCTTTACTAAAATGTCTGTCTTTACTTGATTAATGGCAGTTTTTACTTTTTATTTAACTCCAAATGTAATAATTTGGAACGTTCCTAATTCGTAATTTGTAAGAATCTATTCGGCGATATTAGCATTAGCATCCCTATGGGATATTCAATGTATATTAGCATTGTGCTAACCACTTGCTGCCAGTCAAATCGCAGCCTTTGCGATTAGAAAATCTCTTTTTGTCACATCGCAATTGATCATTCAGCCCTACCATTAACCCATCCTCGAAACTAATGGATCAATCTGTTTAATTCTGGGTTAAAAACAGCATAACAGCGTTAAAGCCCTGACAGGAGCCATTTGAGGTGGGAAAAATGATCGATTCTAAGATGCATCGCGATTCGGCCGTGCATGATTCTGCATCGATGCAGCAACATGACATAATGAGATTTTCTCCCTATGTCTATGTTGATGTTCTGGATGTGCGAGGACAATAAAGTTTTGAGGTTTTGCGACTACTTCCAGGGGCAGAGTTGCAATGACATACGCGCTGTGTTGCCCTAGCGCCAATTTAAAGCAGAAATGGCGGACAGGGACACAGGGCGAACATTACCAGTAATCAGAGATGCACCCGTTACATTTAAATGGGATGTCTGGGCTAATTTTGGCTTTTATGAGCGAGACGGAAAGCTTGACAAGACACACTGTGTGTAAGGTGTGCCACACAAAACTAAAGTACTTTGGGAATAAAACTAATATGACCAAACATTTTGAATGTTTCCACCCTGCGAGGACTTCTTCAGCTACAGCCACAAAAACAGGGAGCACATCCCAGCCAACGATTGAAGAAGCGCTGACATTTTTACCGTCTGCTTCGGAGAGAGGGAAGAAGATCACCCACTCTGTTGCATGCTTTATTGCAAAGGATCTACAACCATATTCTGTGGTAGAGCATGCCGGGTTTCGCTACCTCCTGAAGATGCTCGAGTCTCGGTATAACCTACCGACAAGAAGACACTTCACAGAAACTGCTGTGCCTGCATTGTACAACGAAACCAAAGCCCAGGTAATGGAATCAATGAGTAAAGCTAGCCGCGTAGCCATTACATGTGATTCATGGACGTCAACTGCAACAGTCTTTCGTAACAATAACAGCACATTAAAGAGCAAGTCAACCCCAAATCAACTATTTTTCTCTGATAAACTACATAAATGCGTGTCTAATCGTGCTGCAGACACGTGTAGAGAATAGTTTTGCACTTTAGTGCATTTTAGTTAAAATTTAAAATTTCTGCCTGAAACTGTCAGTGTTGTGCCGTTGTCAGGTAAAAACTCTTCACTGCATTTGAATTTAAATCTGCCGCCGCTATTGGCTAAGAGGTATGCTATGATGTAAACTGGTACATTATGATGTCACAATGTCGTGAGTGTGTGTATTTGTTAGTGGCTCCACCCTCTCGGTCTGCTAGGAAACAGCATGTGTTGCATTTTTCAAACATGAAGTAGGAGTGAAGTACGCTTCTTGTAAGGGGTGACTTGCTCTTTAAATAAGCAACTGCTTTCATTAAGTAATGAAAAATTTTGTGTGAAGAATCGTGATGCATTTCAGACTCAAATCAAATCTTTAGGCAGACAATCGGAATCAGATCGAAATCGTGAGGCAGGTAGAGATGCACACCACTAGGAGACATGAGGATGGATACCGCCCCACCCCTCTAACGGTGCAACAACACTCACACAACCACTCACACACCGCTCCACTAGAAGCAGTGGGATGAGGCTAAAGCACATTAGAGGAAAGACTGAGTTCATGTTTCATATTGATCCAAGTCTGTCAGACCAACAGACTCGGGATGGTGCTGGCATCACAGAGGCCACACAAACACAAGAGACTGAGCATTCGACTTTTAAAAAGTACTGATTCAACCTGACGGTAGGCACAGCACTCTGGGAGGAAACCACCCATCCAATCACCCACATGCATTAGACATGCATTGGGGGGGGTGTCCCGGTCTCATCAGTCAAAATGTGGTGTTTATCTTCAGTCACATTTTTCTCTAGGGATCTAAGCTGCAGGCTGAAAACAAGCTGTTTGGTCTCCTAGCAGCCAGCAGCAAACTTTGGTGAATGAAATGTGTCCAGTGTCCCCCTCTCCAACCCTGTAGCGCACTTTCTTACAGCACAAACACCCAGGACGGCCCTGGAGCCATTCACAGCCCCCGAGTACATCCCCCACCCCCAGCTGCAGTAGCAGAATGGTGAATCTGGCTCTCCGGTAGACTGAGGAAGGATGAACATTAACACTTTTATTTGCTTTTATGACCAGATTTGGACTTAATGGACATTTAATGAATACAAATAGAAACGGAATTCTCCATAAAATAAGTTTAGCATTTTTTAAAATTAAAATAACAAATTAAGACCATTTTGGACACCACTAATGTTAAGCATTGTGTTAATTATAATCAATGGTGTTGTCCGAAGGAAAGGCATCACCCCCTTTTTAAAAACATCTAAGCAGGGTTCAGAAATGTGAAAAGTTTTAAAACCGGTTAGATGAATTAATCCACATCATCTGACTAAAGAACTGTGTGTACTCTCCTTAGAAATAATATATACCGGGACAAATTCATTAATAAGATTTAGCAACTTCCTCTCGCACATATGGCAATAAAATAAAATTACATTCAGAATCTTTCAAACCCTTCTGATTAACATCAATCAATCAATCAATCAATCAAAGCTTTATTTATAAAGCGCCTTCCGCAACCCTGTCAGGAAGCCCAAAGCGCTGAACATGGTTCAGCTGAAGGTAAATATATTGAATATATCAAAAGTAAAAGCAATTCAAATTACAAAATACAAATTACAACATCATCGTTACAACTACATAGAAGTAATATAATCAAAGTAAAACTACAGTTAGTTATGATTCCTACAGCACCTCTGACACGAGCATGAGTGCAGGATGCATCCAGAAAACAACTGTCCACACACAAGACTGGTTCTGGTTCAGGTCCCTGACCGGTTCTGTCCGCGCAGAGGTACTTTGCGCAGTCAGTTATGATCGCAACGCAGCCATATTTCTAATCCCTTCTAATAATTGTTAATGATGTTGCCATCCAACGGGTATTTATATAAATCCTTAACTAGCTGTTGTTGGTTACGAGTGCCACAAACTAGCTAACTTAGCAAGAACAGCTGCTAATTACCTCGCGTTTTCTGATTCAAAATGCTCAATCTGCAATGTTTCGTTTAAACTAATAATTAGCTGCTGGTTGTGATGTTGTCAAGAGAAGACGTGGGTTGAGAACATGTTATAAACGCGACTTTGCTGCTGGCTGTGACCGCCTTTAGCTCCTTAGTCGGAGCTAACCGTCCACCCGCGCCAACACAGGTAGGCCTAACAACGCACTTCTCCCGACGGTTGCACTAACCCTCCGCTCCAGAACCGCTCTGTGGGTCCACTACGAGCTTCTGTCTACACGAGAGAAGATGTTAAAGTAAACATGATACCTGTTTGCGTGGCTTAGAGGCAATAAGATGCTGGACGCCCGGTGAAATGACAATGATAATGAGATCACCACAGCGAAGGCTCCTTTAGCTTTATACACGAGCTGCAGCTGTCACGCGAAAGCCGAAACACAACTTCCGCTACAAAATAAAACCAACAGCTCCGTCGCCTTTTCCTTCAACTTAAACAGCACATTTTTATGAGTATTATGAGAATAGTGTGCATGAATCATAAAATTAACAAAACAATTACATTTTCTGTATCCAAGTATCTTTTTGAACAATTTAAATTTGTTTTATTTTATTTTATAAACTATAATCCGGCGCTATTGCTGCTGAAGATGTTTAGCTTGTTGTACTTTTTCAAAATACAGAGAAGGGCGGAGACCGGGTGGTGGGGTCATCGATCTGACTACATTCCCTCTAATTGTTAAAGAGCAGAGTTATAGTGAAAGTTTGGGATAAACAAACAATATCAGTAAATCGTACAGGATAAACATCCTACAGTTCTCATTTTTCTCATTCGAGAACTGTCTGTTTCCTTGTTTCTCTATGAGCAGCAAGTAATTGGTCACGTTTAAAATATGCTCCGCCCCAAAATACAAACATGCTTTGCTGATTGGGCTAAAATGTTACGAAGCAAGCTCGTAACATACTTGATTGGCTGCTCTGATATAAAGCCCTCTCCTCAACGCAGGTAGCTTCAATCAATCAATCAATCAATCAAAGCTTCATATATAAAGCTTGCCCTCAATTGGTTATAAATTAATTCAAAACATTCATGCCTGTGTTTATGACTGTTTAATCAATTAAAAATAATTAATTTAGACTGCTGAAGACACATTACAATCATAAATATAATTTTCTGACATGTTTTAAACGTTAGTACATGGCTGAATGACGACTGACATGAAAACAAATTTGTGTAGCTGCAACACTGATGCACATCATCTATGCAGATTTAATTGGAAACTAGTTTTTCCCCTATATGAATCATTGCAAATATTCTGACTTTACATAATAATCATAACAACAATTGTTATTATTATTATTATTATTATTATTATTATTATTATTATTATTATTATTATTATTATTATTATTATATTTTATTTTATTTTTTATTTTTTTACAAGGCGGAACCCTTGGCAGAGTTATGTAGGGACTGTATTTGTTGTAACTCACAACATCCGGGGCCGGCTGGTTCGGAACGGTTTGCTGCTGACCCAACAGTTGAAGGAGCTGAAATGAAAACATTCATAATTTGACGTGTTTGATCATCTGAGCGAGTCTTCACAGCACGACCACCAGGATGAGCCGTCTCAGTACCGCCGTGCCCGCCGAACGGTACCTCGGTAGGTTCTAAGCTAGCTGCTTGCGGATGTCGTTCACACGCTGGTACCGGTTTTGTTCATCGATTCTGTTTGTGTTTTCCAGCGGACAGTCAGGTTCTGTTCTACCTGACTGATGCTGTGACTCAGCTGCTGGAGCACAAAGAGGAGTACACCCAGTTCGGCCTGATCCGATACTTCGCTGAATAGTACGTGATTATTGCATTATTGGACCGAGCCTGGGACACGGAACCGGGCTGGCTCCGGTCAACTCAAGTGTATTTAAGCCCATTTCACACAGCAACTATAAACTCGGTGCTCTAAAGTAATTAATACTGATTCCAGAAAATAAAAGAAATATGTTTAACAGACGTAAGACCGCAGAAGGACACATAGTAAGAGAACCACGAGTCAAAGAAAACACATCCATCAAATATGGGCGCAGATCTAAGACCTGGAGAACTCCTGATCCAGAACCAGTTCAGTAGGTCACAGAAAAGTCTGGAAGTGAGTCCCACTGAGGACCGGATCAGGAGTTCCGGTCTGTACTGGATGAGGGGAACCTTGTGTGGACTCTGATGGTTGTATGCCCGTGAACAACGTGGGGGGGTTTAATTGGTGTGTTTGTAGTTTCAGCAGCGTGAAGAACAGCAACCACGTCCTTTTCAGGGAGTTTAACTACATCAGAGCCACTGAGCACAACCGAGCATCCTTCATCAGAGTCTTCTGGAGGTGCTTCAGACAGATCGGCAAGAGCGGAGGTGAGGATATAAAAGTCAGTCTGTGCCAGACATACAGCCAGGTCAAAGGTTTTACATTCAGGATAAATGATGCAACATCTGAAAGAGAATCATCAGACTCGCCTTGTTCCCAGCTCTAGAGGTCTGAGGACCCCCCCCCCCCCCCCCCCATGACATCATCTGTCTGATCATAGTCCAGTCAGTGATGGAGAAACCATCTGGAAGGCTTCAGTAGACCCCCTGAACCCACGCATCCAGAACATCCTCATGAAGACAGATTTAAACACTACAGGCTGTTTTACACGCTTGAAGCCTCAGAGTCTGGTTGAACACACAACAGGTGGGGTTAGGGTTGTTGTGTTTTACTGACTTTTTGTGTTGTCGTGTTGCAGACTTGCTGTCAGTACCGGAGTATCGGTCTCTGCTGCAGCTGCTGTGTCCAGACTTCCCGCTGGAGGTGGTTCAGAGCACAGCCAGGTCAGCAGAGCACCCGTTTCTATTGCTTCAGAAGGAAGTAGAAAGGGAACCCAAACTGACTCACACAGAAGAAGAAAACTGTTTCAAATAATCAAGACTGTTTTACACAGCAAATGAAGCTACCTGTCCACAGAGGTAAAAGGTCAGAGGTCAGAAAAATCCCTTAAACCTACCTGCAGGTCACTGACGGAGGTGAGCTGGACAACAGGGTGTCCGGGTCCAAGAGCGATCCTGATGGAAGACTGCTGAGCCTCTTCGGGCTTTTTAGGAATCTCATCTCACTCATATTTGGTTTTACATTAACATGTTGTGATTTCAGTCGTGCTGCACCATTAAATCACTATCGGCACTTAAACACACTGGCGGCACAGCTGGTGAGATGGCAAAATGGTGAATTTAAGTCACGTTTTCAGACACAAAAACACACGGTGTGTTTTGGCGGAGTTAAAGCGGTTCTGGTCACGATTCTAGACTGAGTTGAGTAAGTGAGGCTCCTGGTTTGTTGGTTCAGCCTGTCTGGGTTTAACTTTGATCCATGACATCAGAAAATATTCTTTAACTGAATGAAACTTTTTCTGCTTTGTGTGATTCTGTAGAATAGTTCTGACGGACGATGCCACTGATTGTTTGATGTCGTTCTCTGACTTCATTTATGCCTTCCAGCTGCAGTTCTACTACCAAGGTACAACATCCAAAACTACCAGTCAGTGCATCCTACACAAAACAGCCTAATAACAAAATGTAAGGATGAAGAAGAGCATGATAAACATGATCAAACACGTGTCTTATGTTGTCCTCGGTGTCTCCAGAGTTCTTGGACAGCGTTCTAGAGATCTACTTGGATCTGTTGGCAGGAAAGAGTCCAAACACCGTCATTGTCCCCACCTCCTCCTCCATCGAGCAGCTCCTCTCTGCCAAAGTGGAGGACAACGATAAGGAGGAGCAGCAGACCGGCGTGGACTCGTCCACCCTGTCTCAGTGTGTGGACGCCCTCTGTGATAGGATCAACTACAGGTTGGACATCACGCTTTCTTCAGGACATGGTTCATCAGCTGCTATCCTTTTGTGACACGTGTGTGAGTGCGTGTGTGTGTGTTCAGTCATCCCTCCAGGTCGTGTGTGAGGGACATCCTGGAGCAGACGGACAGAGTCACTTACTCAGGTCTCCTTGTCAGTCTGGCTGAACACGAGAGCATCAACCAGACCATTGGTGGGTTTGTTTGAGACACCTGGAGACTTTAGGGCGATGGTGGCCGTAAGCAGAGGGTTGTCGGATCGAGCCCCGCTCAGTCTGTCTCTGTCATTATGCCTCATGTACACAGGGCCAAATCACAACAAGAGCTGTCTATAGGCCATTCCCGGCCATCTGTACCTGGTCGGCCCTGTACGGATAGCTCCAGTCGGCCCCAGCCTGGCCCGGTTGATTCCACACACCCTTGCTTAGGTATGCAAGGAATGCAGTCATTTTCAGCTTCTAGGTAATCAGAATGATAATGAATTGAGCTTGCCTTAAGCCCATGTGGGCTGATTCTACCCACCAATCAGAGGCTTGCTCTAATGGAAGGTGTGAATTTGCTGTCAGCAGTGGGTGTGTTGGCCCTGGTCGGCCTGAAGCAGACCACCTCAGAAATGGGCCATTCCCATCTGTACCTGGTCGGCCCGGCCCAGATACATATCTTGGTGGCCTGCCTTTTTTCAGGGTACAACAAGACTGTTTTTCAGCCCTCTTTCTGAGGTGGTCTGCTTCAGGCTGACCAGGGCCAACACACCCACTGCTGACAGCAAATTCACACCTTCCATTAGAGCAAGCCTCTGATTGGTGGGTAGAATCAGCCCACATGGGCTTAAGGCATGCTCATTTCATTATCATGCTGATTACCTACAAGCTGAAAATGTCTCTGACTGCATTCCTTGCATATCTAAGCAAGGGTGTGTGGAATCAACCGGGCCAGGCTGGGGCCGACAGGAGCTATCCGGGCAGGGCCGACCAGGTACAGATGGGAACGGCCCATAAAGGACGCTCACAGAGTCAACATTCCAGGTGTCATCAGCAGACAAGGTCCTCTCCAGGGTTCTCAATGTCGATAGAATTTTCAACAGTGAAGAAGATTTTTTTCTAAGTTGAAAATAGATGATGGTGATGAAAGAGTAACTCAAAACCAGCGTGGGTCCAACTGGAAACCAGACATTTCGTCACAAATCTGTGTCTCCATTTGGACTGAACCCCTGAAGCAGGTTCTGGCCATCTAGGAGCTCAGACTAGCACACATTATTAGCTTAGTTGGTTCTGATCCATCTTTTAGGACCCAATTTGGTTTAGGGTTCTCCTTCATCCAGAACAATCAGATCAGTTCTGTCTCTCCGATCCACAGGAGCTTTACCCAGCAGGGCCGAGCTGCTCATCGACCCTGAGATGGACCAGGAACTGGACAAACTGTAAGAACACACACACACACACACACACACCTTGGTGATTTTGAGCTGGTTCAGCTGTCTTCTGATGGGTTTCAGTTCTTCACCTGATTGGTTGTTTTTCTCAGCCCCGCCCTCTGAGAGAGACCATGCGATGAACAAAAACAGATGCTTTAATAGGTTTAAGCATTTCTACATTTGTGTTTTAAATATTCCAGGTGTTGTTTTATTCTTATAAATAATAAATCAGATCAAAGCGTTCTGGAGCCAAATAAAAGAGCAGAAGACTCTATGGATACCACATTTATCATATTCTTATCTAGAAATTATTTGGTAGCTTTGTTGTAAAATTCATCATGATGATGGTGGTTTTGGTGTGAACAGTACCGTAGATTTGTAAACGTGTGGAATATTGAACTTGTTTAATGCTTTTATTGTTCAGATGAAACACACGAGATAAACTCTCCTCTTTCCTCTTCTCCTCCATCCCTCCCCTCTCCTCTCTGTTCTTCTCCTCTCCCTCTTTCCTCCTCTCCTCATCTTCTCCTCCATCCCTCTCCTCTCCTCCTTTCCTCTCCGCTCATCCTCTCTTTCCTCCTTTCCGCTCATCCTCTCCTCTTTCCTCTCCTCTTTCCTTTCTTCATCTTCTCCTCCATCCCTTCCCTCTCCTCTCTGTTCTTCTCCTCTCCCCCTTTCCTCCTCTCCTCTCATTTTCCTCTCCTTTCCTCTTTCCTCCTCTCCTCATCTTCTCCTCCGTCCCTCCCCTCTCCTCTTTGTTCCTCTCCTCTCCGCTCATCCTCTCCTCTTTCCTCTCCTCTCCTCTTTCCTCCTCTCCTCATCTTCTCCTCTTGCCTTTCTTCATCTTCTCCTCCATCCCTCCCCTCTCCTCTCTGTTCTTCTCCTCTCCCCCTTTCCTCCTCTCCTCTCCTTTCCTCTTTCCTCCTCTCCTCATCTTCTCCTCCGTCCCTCCCCTCTCCTCTCTGTTCCTCTCCTCTCCGCTCATCCTCTCCTCTTTGCTCATCCTCTCCTCTTTCCTCCTCTCCTCACCTTCTCCCTTTCCTCCCCTTTCCTCTCTGTTCCTCTCCTCTCCACCTTTCCTCTCCGCTCATCCTCTCCTCTTTCCTCTCCGCTCATCTTCTCCTCTTTCCTCTCCGCTCATCCTCTCCTCTTTCCTCTTCTCCTCATCTTCTCCTCTTTCCTTCTCCTCTTTCCTCCTCTCCTCATCTTCTCCTCTGTCCCTCTCCTCTCCTTTCTGCTGTTTGTCTGATGGATCCAGAATCGCTCAGATCTCAGTCAGTCCCGGCAGCAACAGCAGCGGCAGTGCAGTGGGGGGGCTGAAGGAGGTGCAGAGGAGGGCCTCCCCCCGCAGGAACATCCACCACAGAAGGAGGATGGAGGTGGAGAGTGATGGCTCCACGGAGGAGACGGACTCTTCGGAAAACTGACCTCAGACCCACCGTTTACCAGCTGTTAACCAGTCAGGAAACGGGTTGTTTACCGACTGTGAGCATCAGCCTGACTCCGCCCACTAGTTACAGATATTTTTGCTGATTTGCAGGAAAAAGTTTTTATTTCATGTAGGTTGTGAAGTTGTTAATGACTTAGTTTGAATCTATTTTTCACCCGTTTAATAATTATTCTAATATATTCAGGAGGTCATGATGCGATGTTCACGAATGAATCAAATCTTCAGAACGGCTCTTCAAGGTGAACGATGGGAGCAGATTCCTTGTTGAGAACTGTTCATGTAATCTATCAGCAACCAGAGGAATGCTTCGCCCCTGCGCCATCTCACTGATGCTTTACTCGCACGCACTATACTATACATGTGTACAAGGTATATGTATGCATACACACATGCACGCACTATACTATACATGTGTACAAGGTATATGTATGTATACACACATGCACGCACTATACATGCGTACAAGGTATATGTATGCATACACACATGCACGCACTATACTATACATGTGTACAAGGTATATGTATGCATACACACATGCACGCACTATACTATACATGTGTACAAGGTATATGTATGTATACACACATGCACGCACTATACTATACATGCGTACAAGGTATATGTATGTATACACACATGCACGCACTATACTATACATGCGTACAAGGTATATGTATGCATACACACATGCACGCACTATACTATACATGCGTACAAGGTATATGTATGTATACACACATGCACGCACTATACTATACATGCGTACAAGGTATATGTATGTATACACACATGCACGCACTATACTATACATGCGTACAAGGTATATGTATGTATACACACATGCACGCACTATACTATACATGCGTACAAGGTATATGTATGCATACACACATGCACGCACTATACTATACATGCGTACAAGGTATATGTATGTATACACACATGCACGCACTATACTATACATGCGTACAAGGTATATGTATGTATACACACATGCACGCACTATACTATACATGCGTACAAGGTATATGTATGTATACACACATGCACGCACTATACTATACATGCGTACAAGGTATATGTATGTATACACACATGCACGCACTATACTATACATGCGTACAAGGTATATGTATGTATACACACATGCACGCACTATACTATACATGCGTACAAGGTATATGTATGTATACACACATGCACGCACTATACTATACATGCGTACAAGGTATATGTATGTATACACACATGCACGCACTATACTATACATGCGTACAAGGTATATGTATGCATACACACATGCACGCACTATACTATACATGCGTACAAGGTATATGTATGTATACACACACATGCACGCACTATACTATACATGCGTACAAGGTATATGTATGCATACACACATGCACGCACTATACTATACATGTGTACAAGGTATATGTATGTATACACACACATGCACGCACTATACTATACATGTGTACAAGGTATATGTATGTATACACACACACATGCACGCACTATACTATACATGTGTACAAGGTATATGTATTCATACACACATGCACGCACTATACTATACATGTGTACAAGGTATATGTATGTATACACACACATGCACGCACTATACTATACATGTGTACAAGGTATATGTATGCATACACACATGCACGCACTATACTATACATGTGTACAAGGTATATGTATGTATACACACACATGCACGCACTATACTATACATGTGTACAAGGTATATGTATGCATACACACATGCACGCACTATACTATACATGTGTACAAGGTATATGTATGCATACACACATGCACGCACTATACTATACATGTGTACAAGGTATATGTATGCATACACACATGCACGCACTATACTATACATGCGTACAAGCTATATGTATGCATACACACATGCACGCACTATACTATACATGCGTACAAGGTATATGTATGCATACACACATGCACGCACTATACTATACATGCGTACAAGCTATATGTATGCATACACACATGCACGCACTATACTATACATGCGTACAAGGTATATGTATGCATACACACATGCACGCACTATACTATACATGCGTACAAGGTATATGTATGCATACACACATGCACGCACTATACTATACATGCGTACAAGGTATATGTATGCATACACACATGCACGCACTATACTATACATGCGTACAAGGTATATGTATGCATACACACATGCACGCACTATACTATACATGCGTACAAGGTATATGTATGCATACACACATGCACGCACTATACTATACATGCGTACAAGGTATATGTATGCATACACACATGCACGCACTATACTATACATGCGTACAAGGTATATGTATGTATACACACATGCACGCACTATACTATACATGCGTACAAGGTATATGTATGCATACACACATGCACGCACTATACATGTGTATGTATGTATATATAATATATATATATATGTATAATATATATGTATATGTAGGTGTTGTGAGGTATGTTTGAGAGTAATTGTGAAATATGACTAGAATTTCTGCTGCAGACTCAATAAATACATCATTTAATCTCAAATCTCCGTTTTTGTCTAGTCTGACTTTTTGTTTTTTTCTCCAACCTGACACAAACTCTTTTATACTCCTTTTTTCACCTGAACAAATCTTTTATGAGACAAAAATCCAAACCTTTGAAAACCTTTTTTAAAACAAACTTTATTGAACAAATGTGAGAGCGAAGCAAAGGCACACAGTCTTTACCACATTATAGTCGAACACCAAACCCCAACGTATGCGGATGGAACGGATCAGATCTTATTTTTTTAGCTCTGAAGCTTATAAGTTATGTTATTTGTTGTTCAAACCTTCAGAAACAAGGAACAGGTGGAACTTTATTGTTAAAGGCAGATATTTACAGCACAAACAAAAGCTATCATCATTTTTTGGAGCGTTTCTGGATTAATTCTTTCTAATAAGAACTTATTGTAACATTAGTACTAGCAGTAGCAGTAATGCTATTCATTTATCATCTTACTTGGATTTAAGCAACTCTGCCACGGAGGAAGTTTAACTTTTGCAACCCAAATTTACAACAAAACCTTGGTTTCACTATTAAACTCTCCAATAACTCATTAAGATGTTTGCTAAAGGAAACCTGGATCTGCTGAATTATCAGTGACTCTTTGCTTTAAATGTTCCCTGAGCCTCAGAGCGGATGGATGAAAAACCAGAAGACTTTCTGTAGTCGTAAACATGATTTATTGACAAGAAACTTCAGCGTGAGTCCGAGCGTCTCGTCTTCTCTTTACAACACTGATGTCATGCGGCGTTAACAGCTTATGATACACAAACATACAGGAACTATACAGGCTCTCTGGAGACAAGTTCTGGAAGTCTGAGTCACAGAAGTGGAACCAAAACAAAGGACACTTTCTGGAGGAGCAGCCTTAAGTGGTGCACCTTGAACAGTTACCATGGAAACTAAACTCAGCTACATGTGGTGACACTTTTTACTTTCCTTCCCAGCAGTCAGATTTCCCTGTTTGAAGTGATCTGGACCAACAGGTCTCCAGATGCTGTGAGGGATTCTGGACCTCAGACCTGCAGAAACGGATCAGCACTGGACGGAATGTGACTGGACTTGTTCTGAGGCGGACGACCTGAGATGCACTAGTTGTGATGTTTACATCTCGTGGGTTTCACTCACTCGTTTCTTCACCCTTTTAGGTTGACCCAGAAAACTAAATCTGACAATCATGACTATAGTTTCAGCTTCTGGGACAGTTATGGACTCAGAGATGACTTTTTTTTAATGGATTTGCTTCCTGGACCTGGCTCTACGCAGCCCACTGTGGGACCGCGACCCAGACTGTGGGAACCACTGCTGACTGCATTCTTTAATATAAAAGCAGAAATGAAACTTTGTCGGAAAAAGTAAAAAATAAACACAATTTAATAAAACAATAAAATCGTGTGCTTTCCAGGTCGGTGGCGTGTTGCTCAGTTTTAAGGTTATAAGAATATAAAATGTGTCTCATTAATTAAACTCAATAAAACTACAGAGCTTCTTTATCAGGAAAATCACATTGGTGACCATGGCAACCAGATCAGATGACGTGTGACACACTGGGCTACAGGACGGCGTCTGGTTCCAAGACTCTGAAGTTGTTAAAGCCAGAAACAAATCGAACTAAAAATAGGCACTGATCCTACACACACACACACACACACACACACACACACACACACACGCACATGCACACACGCACACACACACACACACACACACACACACACACACACACTCACAGGTGGTGCTTCGGGTTTTATTACCTGAGAGTACAGTGGCTCAGAGCTTCAAGAGTTTGTTCATCAAAACCTTTTCTGAAGAGTTTTT